CGCTGCTCCCGTCAGCAGTGTCTTTCAGTCAGTCCACCAGTTCTCCTCCCCACTCTGTCTCTGGTGAATCCTCTCACCATTCCCCACACATTTGGCCTACAATACACCACAGCTCTTGTATGCATAAAAAAAATCTTTAAGGCCTCCCCAGTGGTGCAGCGGTTGAGCACTGGGCTGCAAAGCTGCCTGCTGCCTCTGCAGCACCGGTTCGATCCTTGGCCGCCGGCGAGGGTCCCACATGGTGCGACAGACCTCTCCTGCCACACCTGCTGCTCCCCTCAGCAGTGTATTTTGTCAGTCTGCCTGTTCTGCTCCCTGCTCTGGTGAATTCTCTCACCCTCCCACACTTCTGACTGTACCCAGTGCTTGTATAAATAAATAAATCTTAAAAAAAAAAATCTTTAAAAAAAAAAGTTTGTCTTTAAGCAGTGACCTGCCATTCAGCTCTGGCAAGCTTTTCCCTCACACAGTGACTACTCTCTTGGCTCCACTGAGGCATGATTCCTAGGGCAAGCTTCCTCACCATCGACAGACAGCGTTCTGATGGTACTCACACCCTTTCACCCTTTCCAAACAGTTCTGAGTGAAGTTAGGCTTCACTCTCCCTCAGCCACTCAGGCAAGTAGCTCTGTTCAATAGCCTTTTAAGGAGGTGACCAACTTTTACCCTGTTGAACAGAAGGAGACACATGTATATTTAGTGAGGATGTAAACTGGTACATCTATTTGGAGAACAGAATGCAGGTTCTTCAAAAAATTAAAGTAGAAATTCCATATGATCCAATTATTCCACTTCTGGGTATTTACCTGAATATAAAAATACTAATTAAAGAGATATACACACCCCCATATTCAGTGTAGCATTTACAGTAGTTAAGTGCTGGAAATAACCTAACTGACCTTCAACAGATAAATGGATAAAGACAATGTGTACACACATACACATGCACACAATGAAATACACTCACTTATTAAAAAAAGGATAAAATCTTGCCACTTGTAACAACATATATGGATCTAGAGAGTATTATGATTAGTGACATTAAATCAAAAATAAACTTTTATACTTACAGACTAAGACCAAATTAGTAGTTACCATAAAGGAAGGGGGAAGTGGGAAGAGTAAATCAAGTAAAAGAGATTCACTGTCTGATGAAGAACAGAATTGAGCTTTTATAGAAATTGACTTACAATGATGCATACCTGAAACTTATAAATTGTTATATTATGTTAATACAAATTAAAAATAAAATTTTTAACAAGTTTCCTGTTTAAATGATTAATGTCTTTATTTTGACTAGACTATGACTGATATAACCACCCAAGAGTGACTGTATGCATGACAAAAGGAAGGCCAGAAAGAGAACTCTGGAGGATTTCTACAAGTAGAAGGTATGAAGGAGGAGCAGAGCCAGCAAAGGGAATAAGACAAAGAAGCCAGTAAAGTAGGGCAGAGGTGGGGAATAGGGGGAGCATGCACGAATTACAGAGTCAAGTAGAGGAAGTATTTCAGGAAAGAAATGATCAATTTCACCAAAAACTACTGTGAGGCAAGCAAGCTGATGACCAAAAGCTGACAGAGAAATTGGTGGCAGGTTCAATGGACCAACAGATATGAAAACCCAACTGGCGTAATCTGTGAAGTTAACTGCTGTGGAAACATAGAGAAGCAGGTGTCTGCTATTTGGAAGAGTTCCACTACAAAGGAGGGCAGAGAAACAGCAGTGGTAAGACCAATCCTCACAGCTGTACATTTTACTTAGTACTTATTCAGCCTGTTGGGTGCAGGCAATAGAGCAGGTGGGAAAGTTGAATTTAAGCAAATATTAACCAAACAAGAATCCTTCTAAGTGCATAGCCAAGATCACTAAAAAACATCAACAACTAGGAAAACTCCCTGGGGATCAAAATAAAAAGAGGCCAGAAAACTAGAAAAATAAAATAAAACCACACTTGCTCTCAGGGCAGAGGAGACTAGTCTTGTATCTGGGACTCAGGGATAGACTAGAATTCTTGAAGGATATACATTCATTGTATCCAAATAATCTGATTTGCAAATTCTATGTTAATTTTATGTTCCAAAATACCTATAGTGTAGATGTAAAACCATTATTTCCAAATTTTAAAATAATACATGAATCAGTTAAAATCATTAATTTTAACTGAATACAGGTTATATAAAGTATTCTTTATTTTTTACTTCTCTAAAGTTTTATGGGTTACAGTCAAAGCTTTGACTGTACAATAATGCTTACTCTAAAGACTTCCTGTAGAAATGGAATATGAACACTACTGGTTTCCCAGGGCTTCCATAACAAATTACCATAAACTAGGTCATTTAAAATGGCAGGAAATCTATTCAGAGGTTACAAGTCTAAAATCATGGAGTTGATAGGGCCTGGTAGGTTAAACAGTGGATGTAAAAGAATTAAGAACTGGAATAAAGATCTTAAGAAAACTTCCAGAATGCTGGAAGGGTGAAGTGAGCCAAGCCCAGGTATGACAGTATAGATTTAAATATTCAGACTTGATTATAATTAAAAGCTAAAGACAGGGATATAAGTTTTTAATGGGAACATTCTAACATATCACTATACAAAAAAGGTGAAAGGACAGTCTTGTATTTAGAAAATAATTACAGATAATAAGAATACAGACATTAATTCAAGTGTCACATTTACACTCTTGTTATACTAGTTATAACTCACTATCATAGGACAGTGTACATTAACTACAGTGCCTTATTTTCAAAAAAGTTAAATCTCAGGATCATAATATTTATGTCACGTTCATTTGTTGGAGGAAATAGTATTGGCTTACTGAATGTTTGAAGTAACTGTTTTAAAATATTTAAACCATTGTGACTATACTAACATTGCTGTAACTAAGCCAGCATATACATATCGCTATCAAATTAGGAAAATCCACCTGCTTTCCTTGAACCAAAAAAAGAAATAAAAAGTGATTATAGAGGATCTTTAAAATCAAAATTACATAAAAATTAAGATTCTCTACAATCTAAAATAAAAATCTAGTCCTAGAAGGAGCCAGGAACACTGGCAGACTTCCCAGGACTAATTCAAGATGTGCATCTGCAGATTTAGGAAGCACAATAAATACTAAACAGTAAGCAAAACTAAATTATATGCATGTACAACGTTATTAAACTACAGAGCAAAGTAAAAGACAACAAAGAAAACCAAAGGTATAACAACTCCCAGTCAAAAAATTCAGAAGCAGTTAAATTAGCATTCAAGAATGAGAGGAAAAAATTAAAACCTGTAGCATACCAACGCAGGGAACTGGTAATCATTCACCCCAAGTGGCAATACATGACCATCAAGAATTTTAAAATAATAAAAATCAATAAAAATCACTTTGCTTTTTAAGAACTGCATTATCAGTGATAAAATACTCCTGTTTTTGGTCTGCTATTGGTTTAGACAAAGGAAGCTGAGGGAATTCCAGTTAATCCTCATGAAGGAAATTCATAAGACTATACTTTAGGAAGAAAGAAACTCTAAGACTGTACTTTATTTTTTTTTTTTTTTTTTTTTATAATAAATAAAAAGATTTATTTATTCATGCATACAAGAACTAGGGTACAGGCCAGATGCACGGGAGGTGATCAGATTCACCAGAGACAGAGTGGGGAACAGAACAGGCAGACTGCTGAGGGGAGCAGCGGGTGAGATGGGAGAGGTCTGTCGCGCCATGTGGGATTCTCGCCCGCCGGCTGGGATCGAACCTGCACTGCAGAGGCTGCGGACAGCCTCACAGTGCTGTGCTCAACCGTAAGACTGTACTTTAGAAAGAACAAGATTTTAGAAAGTCTGACATACAAGTAGAAAAGGTGAAAAAAATGTGTAAGTATAAATAAATATAAGCAAACCGTTGCTGCACAGACAATAATAATGTCCAATTGAGGGGGGATTAAAAGAAAACCTAGAGAATGAAAGTGATAAGTAACAGTAACTTAAAAAAGGGGGGAAGGACAGTGAGTAGAGTTTGCAATTTTTAGGTGTGTGCATGCTAAATATTTGACAGTCACCCTAGAAAAGAAAATAAACTCTAACTTTTTAAAAAATAGACTTGGTAACAATAACTGAAGGATGGAATCCTTTATCTCTAAATTACCTACAGCATTTTAAATCAATATTGCCTCAAAAAAAAAAAAAAAACAACAACAACAACAGCAAAATACAGTGAGGCACGTTAACAACTCAGCAGGGAAAATCTTACCAGGATGAAAACAGTACTATCATTTGAAGAAAATGGATTTGAATATCACCAAATAAATAAAGTCCTTAACAACATTTACAGGGGGTTTCCCTGGTGGCACCAAGGGGTTAAGCACAGCACTATGAAGCAATCCGCAGCCTCTGCAGCGTGAGTTTGATTCCCTACAGTCACAATTTGCAACTTTTCCAACCAGTGCTCCTCTTAAATTATACCCTATCTATAAAATAACAGGCCCTACCACTTTACTAAAAGTGTGAAGCCATGCAGATATCCTCACCTACCCTACGTTAGTAGTAAAAGCTTTGCTCCAACAACTGACGCCATGTCTCTCTATACCGATAGGCTAGCCTCATTTGCTTTCTACAATTGTGTTCAGTTCTGTTTCATCCTAAAACATCCTCTCCCCTGCTCTGCTACCCCTCTTAAGTTAAGGCCTTCTCCTCTAGTTTCTGATTCTGAATTACATATACTCCATAATCTTTTATGAAGGCTGGACAACTTGACTTCTGTTTTTTACCCTATGTTTTTTTATCCTTTATTCCAAAATGACATTGAAAACTGGCTCAGGATAGGCATAATCACAGGAAGTCCCATAAAGCAAAGACTGGTGATAATAATTTTCTTCCTATAGTATCATGAGCAAGTGGATATAGAGTAAATATTGAGTCTTTTTTACATTTGTACCATTACTTTTCTTATATTTGTGAGGATTAAAAATTGGGAATACTTAACTGATGTTTAAATATGAAAACCTCTTACCCTTTTTCAGTTTCCGGACAGCCAACATACAATGACTGGGAGAGAGATCCCATATTCTTAAGGTTTTATCGTCACTTACAGTAGCACAGATGGGCAGATAAGGATGTGTAGCCAAACCCCAAACCTCTCCTTCCATGTGTCCCTATAAGAAAAACATAGCTAATATCAACTTAATCTAAAATACATGTATTTAGAGGAAAAATAAAGCCAAATTTGATAATTAATGACATAATAATTAGTGGGTAATAAAACTTTCTCTTTATATTTGGAACATACATTGAAATACCATTGTAACAGTTTTAGCTCCATAATTACAAGATAATCAAGTTATTTTTAAAATTAGTTTAAAATCCTGAAACATTCACTGGGTAGACAGAATAGGAATTGGCTGCCCTGGAATGTCAATAATGTTAATAATTGCCATGCAGGTGGATCTTCCTGCAAGAACTCCAAGTATCTGCTCACCAGTGAAATTAGTGAAAATTATTTAAAAATATTAAGTCTCTGGAAATAATTCCAAAGAGACACAATAAAGAAATAAAACATATTAAAATTCATTAAGAATAGTATTTGTCATTTTTAGGCTGAGACTCCTTACCTCCCTTCTCTTAACTATTGTCAAACTAAAACTTCAGGAGGAAATTTAAATGGCGCAGCATGCTCAAAGAATTCAGGGTGCACAGATTTAGGTGGAAAACCTAGAATGTGCCTCAAGGAGAGATAAAGTTGGGTTTTTTTTATGGAGGAAATGAGGAAGATACATGGTTAAAAAAAATAGTTGATTAGTGGTAACAAACTTAAACTATTCTTAGCTATACATAACTGCTTACTGATTTGCTAGAAAGGATAAAAAGGGAATCAATTTTATCCTCTGGCTAAAAGTTCATAATCGGGTCTCATAAGGCAGGTGACTTCTCAGATTGTCTGCTTGATGGTTTCTTTAAACAGACTGCTATAACCAAGAACACAGGGCTTGCTCACTCTCCCTGCTCAGCTCCTCCTGCTCAGAGGGCTAGCAGCCCAGAAGGGACAAGTGTCAGCATTTCTCACTCTGCTCAGTCACTTGATATCTCATGTGGCTAAATCTCGGTGAGTGCCACTAGCAGTTGGGACATCTCTTCTTCTGCTCACTTTATTCAGATGGAAGCTCTACCTTGGGTACAGTGCCACAAAGAATACTGGGACTTCAGTGTCAACCCAAAAAGACCTGAGGTTATAGCATTCAAAAAGGAACATCTCCAGGGCCTCCCCTGGTGGTGCAAGCGGTTGAGCGCTGTGCTGTGAAGCTGTCTGCAGTGCCGGTTTGATCCCCGCCGGCCAGGGAGGGTCTCCCAAATGGCAGGGCAGACCTCTCCTGTCTCACCCGCTGCTCCCCTCAGCAGTGTATTTCGTCAGTCTGCTTGTTCTGCTCCCCTCTCTGTCTCTGGTGAATCCTCTCATCCTCCCGCACATCTGTCCTGTACCCCGTTTCTTGTACACAATAAATAAATCTTTAGAAAAAAAAACAAAAAAGGAACATCTCCAAAGCCTTGTATCTGAGATTTTGCCTGGAGGAAGAAGCAATCCACAGAACAGGTAGTTCCTGAACTGATTTCACTTATTGCAGAGCATGGAAAACTCAAGGCTGAAGTGCTCAAGAACAGTGGAAGCTGCGATGAAATGTAACTGAGAGGCTATTGGTAGACTCACTGGACATACAGGCTAACCAGTAGGCCAGCTAATTTGTCCAAAAGAAATCACAGAGATAGCTGGGAGGAGAATGCATAGGGTCAGAACAATCTCAAACAGTAACCTAGGGAAACATTCTTTTGAAGAAGCCTGAATTTGATTGGTTTAGTTGTACAGCAGTTTATATTCCAGGAAAATACTGAAAACAATACAGCAATTAGTAATTAATGAAGTTTAATGGCTGTGTGTGGTCAGGAAAAGCAATAATAAAGAGGTGAGAACACTTTGTAATATTTTATGAAGCCAATCACAAAAACATATCAAGAAAATTAGAGCTATTACATATATGTACATATATATCATATATATGTACATATTATAAATATATACATATGTATAATATGTACATATATGTACATATGTATGAATGCTGTATGTACATATGTATGAATGCTAACATCCTCAACACAAGACTAGTACACTAATTCTAACAGCATATAAGAAGAATTAAGGAGAATGATGTTACTAAGATGGCCCTATAGGTCATTCCAAGTTTCTCTCTCCCTCATAAAGGGAACAATTTACAACTATTCAGGAATGGGATACCACTGAGAGAATCCTACAGCATGGGGTAAGATTGAAGCACCCCCTGCACTTCAGTCTGAAAACCAATACAGACTGCAACAGAAGGGATGCCAAGAAGAGTGAAGCAAACCATGTGTAGGAAGGTGTCTGGGAAGGGACGCAAATAGGCAATGGTCTGGCCAATGCAGAGATGGTGGGGTTGCCAGCCTATCCACAGGCCCTGGGGAGGGGAGAGTAGAGATGTTGTAGAGGCCCATGCTCTGGATCCAGGGGAAGCCCAAAGTGGAGGAGCTGAGGTGATCCACATGGGTCAGCACCTCAGCAAAAAGGACGAAAAGAGAAAGTGCTCTAGAATACACCTCCCCCATCCCCAGCCCTTGGGATCTGTACTGATGACATGAAGTTTTCCAGTAGTTAATGTTGCTGCATTTCAGACCTGGAACCACAGAGAGAAAATAATTACAGCAGAGCCACTCATGTGACCCAGGACTTTTCCAACACAACCATGACAGCTGTTGGCTCCCTCCACCCCCTTGTCCTCCTTACTGACACAGGAGTAGCTCATCCACTAGTCCCCTGTTGCCTCTTTACAGCAGCACAATAGGTCACAACAACGAAATATCAAAAACAGAATGAGGGGAAAACCATAAATATATGGAGATTAAACTATATGCTACTCAACAACTTCTGGTTCAATGTGGAAATCAAAAAATACCTGGAAACAAGTGAAAGTGAAGACAAGATTTATCAGAACTATTGGATGCAGGAAATAGAAAAAGAGGAAAAAGAAAGCCAAGTGAGTAGAAGGAAGAAATAAAAGGCAATTCAAAAGATCTATGAAACTAAGAGCTGACTTTTTGAAAATTTAACAAAATAGGCAAATCTTTAACCAGGTTCACATAAAAGGAGAGATGATTCCAATAAATAAAATCAGAAGAAAGAGAAGCTACAACAGATAGTACAAAATTACAAAGAAACATTTTTTATTTATTTTTTATTTATTTTTTTTAAATAATAAATTTTATTTTTATATTCCCCATACAATTGCAGCCCCCCCATTCTGACCCCAATCCCTCCCCTCCTGCCCCCGCCCCCCTAAAAGTGTCTCTGGTTCATAGTTTTTTGTTGATTTTGATTTTCACTTTCTTATAGTTATTCATTTTCCTGGTCCCTTATTTAAATTTTCTAGATTCCTGCTATGAGTGAGACCATCCGGTATTTTTCTTTTTCTTTTTGGCTTATTTCGCTGAGCATGATCCCTTCCAGCGCCATCCATGTTGCTGCAAATTGCATGTGTTTATCTTTTTTGAATGCTGAGTAATATTCCATGGTATATATGTACCACATCTTCTTGATCCAGTCATCTATTTTTGGGCATTTGGGTTGTTTCCAAAGCTTAGCTATTGTAAACAGTGCTGCTATAAACATAGGGGTGCAGGTGTTCTTTGGAATTGATGTTTCTGTGTCCTTTGGGTAAATACCTAGGAGTGGAATTGCTGGATCATATGGAAGCTCTATGTTTAGTAGGTCCAGAAATCTCCACACAGCTCTCCACAGTGTTTGGACCAGTTTGCACTCCCACCAACAGTGCAGAAGAGTTCCTTTTTCTCCACACCCTCGCCAACATTTGTTGTTGCTAGTTTTTTTAATATGTGCCATTCTCACTGGGGTAAGATGGTATCTCATGGTAGTTTTGATTTGCATTTCCCTGATGACAAGTGATGTTGAACATTTTTTCATATGTCTGTTGGCCATTTGCATTTCCTCTTCAGAGAAGTTTCTTTTTAGCTCTTCTGCCCATTTTTTGACTGGATTATTTTCTTTGTTGTTGCTGAGTCTCATCAGCTCTTTGCAGATTTTTGTGATCAGTCCTTTATCATTAGTGTTGGGTGCAAAAATGTTCTCCCAGTTGGTGGGGTTTCTCTTTGTTTTTGTTATTGTCTCTTTTGCTGTGCAGAAGCTCTTTAGTTTGATGTAGTCCCAGCTGTTTATCTTTGCCTTCACCATCACTGCTTTGGGTGATGTGTCTGTAAAGATGTCTTTGATGTGCAAATCACGTAGTGTTTCGCCTATATTTCCTTCTATATTTTATGGTTTCAGGTCTTATGTCTAGTTCTTTAATCCATTTTGAGTTTATTTTTGTGTATGGTGTGAGGTAGTGGTCAAGCTTCATTCTTTTGCATGTAGCGACCCAGTTTTCCCAGCACCATTTATTGAACAAACTTTCTTTGCTCCAATGCATAGTCTTTGCTCCTTTGTCAAAGATTAGTTGACCATAAATCTGTGGGTTTATTTCTGGATTTTCTATTCGATTCCATTGGTCTGTATGTCTGTTCTTGTTCCAATACCATGCAGTTTTGATGATTATGGCTTTGTAGTAGAGTTTGAAGTCTGGGAGTGTGATGCCTCCATTCCCTTCTTTTTTTTTCAGGAGAGCTTTGGCTATTCGGGGTTTTTTGTGATTCCATATGAATTTCATCAATAATTGTTCTATTTCTTTGAAGAATGACATTGAAATTTTGATTGGAATAGCATTGAATCTGTATATTGCTTTTGGAAGGATGGCCATTTTAATAATGTTTATTCTTCCAATCCATGAGCAGGGGATGTCTTTCCATTTCTTTGTGTCTTCTTCTATTTCTTTTAACAGTGTTTTATAGTTTTCTTTGTATAGGTCCTTTACCTCTTTTGTTAGATTTATTCCCAAATATTTGATTTTTTTTTGTTTCAATAAAAAAGGGATGGTTTTTTTGATTTCTTCTTCTTCAGATTTATTGTTTGTGTATAGGAAGGCTACTGACTTTTGCGTGTTGATTTTGTATCCTGCCACTTTACTGAACTGATTGATGAGTTGAATTAGTTTTTCTGTGGAGTTTTTGGGGTTCTCTATGTATATTATCATATCATCTGCAAATAGTGATAGTTTGATTTCTTCTTTTCCTATTTGGATTCCTTGGATGTCTTTCTCTTGTCTTATTGCTCTGGCTAGGACTTCCAGTATTATATTGAAAAGCAGTGGTGAGAGTGGACATCCTTGTCTTGTTCCAGATCTTAATGGAATTGCTTTCAGCTTTTCACCATTGAGAATGATACTGGCTGTTGGCTTGTCATAGATGGCCTTTATGATGTTAAGGTATGTTCCTTGTATCCCAAGAATTTCAAGGGAATTTATCATGAATGGGTGTTGCACTTTGTCGAAAGCTTTCTCAGCATCTATTGATATTATCATATGGTTTTTATATTTCTTTTTGTTGATGTGTTGGATAACGTTGATTGATTTTCGGATGTTAAACCATCCTTGTGTCCCTGGAATGAATCCTACTTGGTCGTGGTGAATTATCTTATGGATACATTGTTGGATTTTGATAGCTAAAATTTTATTGAGGATTTTTGCATCAGTGTTCATTAGGGAGATTGGCCTGTAGTTTTCCTTTTTTGTGTTGTCCTTGTTCAGTTTTGGTATTAGTGTAATGTTGGCTTCATAGAACGTGTTTGGTATTGTCCCTTCCTTCTCAATTTTTTGGAAGAGTTTATGAAGGATAGGCACTAATTCGTCTCTGAATGTTTGGTAGAATTCATTTGTAAATCCATCAGGTCCTGGGCTTTTGTTTTTGGGGAGGTTTTTGATTACCATTTCAATTTCGCTGCTTGTAATTGGTCTGTTTAGGTGTTCTATTTCTTCTTTATCTAGCTTTGGGTGATTGTAGAGTTGTAGGAATTTGTCCATCTCCTCTAGATTGTTAAACTTGTTTCCATATAACTGTTCATAGTAGTTACTGATTATTCTTTTGATTTCTGCTGTGTCCGTTGTGATTTCTCCTCTTTCATTGATGATCCTGTTTATTTGTGCTTTCTCCCTTTTTTCCTTTGTGAGCCTGGCTAGGGGTTTGTCTATTTTATTGATTTTTTCAAAGAACCAGCTCTTGGTTTCATTGATCTTTTGGATTGTTTTTTTAGTTTCAATTTCATTTATTTCTGCTTTGGTTTTTATTATTTCTTCTACTGGTTTTGGGGTTTTTTTGTTGTTCTTTTTCTAGATCTTTGAGCTTCGAGATTAGGTTGTTTCTTTGAGTTCTTTCTTGTTTCTTGATGTGAGCTTCTATTGCTATATATTTTCCTCTTATTACTGCTTTTGCTGCATCCCATACATTTAGGATATTGGTGTCCTCCTTGTCGTTCAATTCAAAGAATTTTTTAATTTCTTCTTTGATCTCCTCATTAGTTCAGTGGTCTTCCAGTAGTGTGGTTTTTAATCTCCATGAGGTAGGAAAGTTCCTTGCCTTCTTTTTATGGTTTATTTCTAGTTTGATGCCTTCATGGTCAGAAAAGATGGTTGATATGATTTCAATCTTGGTGCATCTGTTGATGTTTGTCTTGTGCCCCAGTATGTGATCGATCCTAGAGAATGATCCGTGTGCGCTTGAGAAAAATGTGTACTCCGTTTTTTTGGGGTTTAGTGTTCTATAGATGTCTGTTAAGCCCAACTGCTCTAGGTCCTTATTTAGAGCTTTGGTTTCTTTACTTATTTTTTGTCTTGTTGATCTATCCATTGTTGATAGTGGTGTGTTGAAGTCTCCCACTACGTATGTGTTTTCTCTGATGTCTGTTTTCAGAGAGGACAACAGTTGTCTGATATATTTTGGTGTTCCTTCGTTTGGTGAGTATATGTTAATGAGTGTTATTTCTTCTTGAAGTATTGTCCCCTTGATCATAATGTAGTGACCATTGGGGTCTCTTTTTATCTTTTTGAGTTTGAAATCTGTTTTATCTGATATAAGTATAGCTGTTCCTGCTTTCTTTTTTGGTCCATTTGCTTGTAGGATTGTTTTCCATCCTTTAACTTTGAGCCTATTTTTATCTTTTGTAGCTAAATGTGTTTCCTGGAGACAGCAAAAGGTTGGGTTTTGTTTCTTAATCCAGGCTGCAACTCTGTGTCTTTTTATTGAAGAGTTTAGTCCATTTACATTTAGAGTTAATATTGATATGTTAGCATCTGTATTTGCCATTGTGTTTGTCTTTCCAAAGAAACATTTTTATGAACATTACATGACAACTAATTGGACAATCTAGAACAAACAGAGAAATTCTTAGAAACAGTGTTCCAAGACAGAGTTGGGAAGCAGCAGACCTTTTGAAGAAAATGATCATGAGTAAAGGAGTTGAAACAGTATGAAGAGCTTTCCCCCTCCCCCAAACTGCCCAGAACCAGATGGCTTCACTAGTGAATTTCACCAACCTTTAGAAGAATAATTAATGCCCATTTTTCCTCAAAATCTTCTAAAAGTTGAAGAAAAGGAAAAACTTCCAAACACATTTTATGAAGTCAACATTACCATTGCAAAACCAGATAAGGACATTACAAAAAACAGAAATTACAGACCACTATTGCTAATGAAAACAGATGCAAAAATCCTCAACAAAATACTCATGAACCAGATTCAACATTAAAAGAACCATATACCATGATCAAGTAAGATTTTTTTCAAGGAATGCAATAATGGTTCAACATGTGCAAACCAATTAACATTATACACCAATATGGATGGATCTATTATGCTGAAATGTAAAATAAGTTAGACAGAGAAAGACAAACTCCACATTATTTCACTTATATGTGGCACAGAAACAAAAAAAGAATAAAACAAAAATACTTTCAGACTTTAAAATCAAACTAGTGGTCACCAGTAGGTAAAAAGGAATGCTGCTTCCCTAATATTAGGAACAAGACAAAGATACCTGCTCTGTTCAATATTACACTGAAATTTCCATTATATTGGAGGAGCAAGAAAAAGCGCCTGCTCTCATTACTTGTATTCAATATCATCTTGCACCTAGAAAATACTATAAATCCACTAAAAAAATGTTAGGACTAATAAATGTGGTCATTTTAGCACAGTAACTATGGGATCTATACAGTGAAAACTATAAAACTTTGTTAAAAAAAAGTTAAAGACAACCTAAGTAAGTGGAGATACCATGTTCATGGATGAGACTTGGCACTGTTAAGAGGCACTATTCCCAAACTGACTCATAGAACACTGCTGTAAAGACGATGATGTGCACTTTTGGGGCACATATAAGAATGCACTCTCATTTTGTACACGCATTTCCCAAAGTTAATTACTATATTTTTACATTAGCTGTATTTCCTGCATGGAGTCCCTCAAAAATTTAACTACTTTAAAATAATTTCTCTTCCACATGATGTAAAAAAAAACTTTCCAGAATTTGTGGAAAATCTCATTAGGATTTGGATTATGATCATATTGAATTTATAATTTACTTAGGACTTTTATTTCAGTAAAATTTAGCTATATGTGCTCTGATTATTATATTATGCTCTGTAACATTTTTCTGTCATATTTTTAAACTGGTTATTCATGACATATAGATATCTACTGATTTTTATATGTTGATTTCACACCTACTCAATTTTTTAGGACACTCTATTAGTTCTAATCATTTTTCAGATTACTTTCTTGAATATTCTAGGTATAGGATTACAAAATGTGTAAATTCCAACAGTGCTGAATTTGTTTCAAACACTCATACTTTCATTGTTTTGTTTTACTGGACAATTGTTATGCTGGACAATTATGATGAGACCTGGTATGTTTGTCTTGTTCCTGATGTTTAATAGACAATAGGTATTTGAAATATTACACTATATAGGAGTATCAAAAGTAACAGTTTATTTGTGACTTCTGAATCTTTTCTTACAATTACAAACTTGTTTTTCAATAGTTCCATCTATAGATTCATCTATAAAAGTGTACTTGTGTTCATATTTTCCAACAGATCATAAACCTGTTAGAAACCATGACTCTTACCATGTTTTAATTCAAGAAATACTATGTGACTGAACCTAATGAGTGTAACACCAAAGTTTGAGAAAAAATATAAATTGGTTTGTTATTTGCTTACAAATTTTCCTTGGTACATTGGCACATTATATCAAAATGAAAGCATGTGCAACATTCTCATATTCCATAGTCTTTGGTGTCACATCAGAAGTGAAATGGGGGTTTGAGAAGAAATGTTTGCATTAAGAACACAATTATTTTCTAGGGTAAAAGACAAACCTAAAATTAGTGTTATATATATGAGGACAACTTTTCATTAGAGTAGATATTACTTTATTCACTGTGTTTTATAATATTGATTCATTTCTTTCCCACTTCTCAGGAAAAAATATATATAGGAAATGTGTACCTAAAAATTTACATAGCATTCCTGATGGAAATTTTAAGCATCAGCTAGTCCGGCTGTTTCATTTTATATTTCTACCACACACAATTTTATATTTCTGGATTTTTGTTTTATTATTAACATAACTGAAGAGTTTCACAAAAAAAAATCTGACTCATTCAAAAAATGTATTTCAAAAAAATGAGATATGAAATAAATGGACTAGGTTAATTACAACTGGTTTTTCTTTTCTTTTCTCTCTTGTTTTACAATTAGAAATTACTTGAGATACTGACATCTTGGATACACATTAACAAGTATTTCCTTAATTCATTTAAAATTTTTCACCATTGTCAACTTTTGACTCCTATGTAATGACTTAATAGAAAAAAGCAAAAACATATATTACCATGAAAGGAAAAATAAGCATATTTACATTTAAATTTACCTGAACCAGAAGTGTTATTGGGCCACTTTTATCTACTTCTAATATTTCACCATTCTTTGTGCCAACTAAAATATGCCCATGTCCTAATGATATGGCACGTATAGATGGGTTATCTTCCAAGAGAAGGCCTGAAATATTAAACAGAGATATTCGTATAGGTATGAAGTAACTACAATTCAAGGATGTATATATTGCCAATGATGCTACTATAACAATGAAAATGACACTATAAGGTTGTTTTCTCATATATTTAAGTATTGTAATCAATGCACTGCATTTTCTCCCAATCAATTTTCTAATCTCAAAAGTAAATATCATTTACAAGGGAGGGAGAGGAAGAAGAATCAAAACAGGGGAGAGAAGAGCATAAGGGACTATGGGGATGTTCCGCAGGTGAATTGGTGGTAGGAGTGTTTTATGGGGAATACACCTAAAAGGAGAAAGCATACAAGCATACCTTGTACAAAAATGAACAATGCTGTAAAATATATATAATTTTTTTTAAAAAGTAAGTACATTACTCTATATTACACCAGATCCCCTACCACCATTGTGACAACTGTATATTTTCCTTTTATATCTACCTCCTGGCCCTCTTAAAGCATGTACAATATTCTGGCTAGTAATTTTACCTCAATTCTACTTCAGATTAATTCATTTATGTGTACTGCATCCCAGGCAGGCTTCAGCAACACACTGGTAAACACAATAGTGCCAGCTCTTGCCCTCACAGAGTATGGGGTAAGGAAAACAGACCCTATGTGAAAGCATACAAAAAGCACAAAGCAAGGAAACCTTTTAATATAAGGGAATGGAAGTGGAGTGAGTCATCCAAGAAGAAATGTTAGATTTGACAAATAAGTATATTGCCAGGCAGTTGGTGGGGGCAGGTAGGAGGAAGAAGGGCAAATTTCAGGCACAAGTAATGGTGTACAGAAGGGCTTGAGGTCAGAGGGATGTGATGCAGCTCATTAATTGAAGAAAAGCACCGAGCTAGGGAAAAGGGTCTGCCACCCTAGAGGCAGGGTCAATAAAACACCAAGGTGAAACAAAACACCAAATTTGTAAACAAAAAAAAGAAGTGCTGCTCACATGGCAATTTTCTTTGGGAAATTAAAAATTTCAAAAGGTGGGCCTCCCTGGTGGTATAAGGGGTTAAGACTCAACCTACGAGGCTGTCCGCAGCCACTGTAGCACGAGTTTGATCCCCGGCCGGCCAGGGAACTACCCACATGGCGCAACAGACCTCTCCTGACTTGCCCGCTGCTCCCCTCAGTGATGTATGTCAGTCAATCCACCTGTTCTGTTCCCTGCTCTGTCTCTGGTGAATCCTCACCCACCACACCTCTAGCCTGTACCCCAGTTCTTGTATGCATAAATAAATATTAAAAAAAAAGAAAAAAATTTCAAAAGGTAAGATCAGTAACATTATTTGTTATAATAATTATTATGTGTTAATTAGTTATTAAAATTAATAATCCTGTTCTTGGTTAACATTTTACCATGTATATCACAAAAAATAAATTTTGAAAGGATAGCAATAATTCTGGAATCCTGTTAAGGGACTTCTCCCATTTAACTCTAATACCTGTCTAGTAAAGAAGGAAAAATAAATCCCATGTGTCCCACTGCAGTAATCATGCATGCGAATGAGAAGTTAATCTTTTCCCCACAAAATGAAGCTTCAAATCACCTTTAGATCCTGGGGCCAAAGCAGCTCGTTTTATAGCATAGGTCTTGAGACATCTTTCAAAGGAGTCATCCCAAAGAGCAACTATACCATCTTTTCCTCCAGTTACGAATCCCTACAAAAATAAAAGGATCAAGTTAATAAAGATTTAAATATTAAAAAAACCCTTCATTATATTGAAAAACTTGAGAGAAACAAATATCTAAAACCAAAAGGTTAGTTTGTAAAGAACAGAAACTGGCCTAAGAATCGATCATGCTTTTTAAGTTATCTGTAAAAATACTACCATGACACTAAACATTTTTAGGCTAAGGTTTTAAAAACTCAGTTTGTAATATGGAACTAATAGGTAGCTCCATCATTTTCAGCAGGTTAAATATATTCTCTCTTGGAGGTGTCACTATTTCATCCTTTGGGGGAAAAAGGATAATAACAATAGTACTTCATAGGATGTGGTGATAATTATTAAATGCTAAATTAAGACTGTGTGTCAAATACTGTATAAGTGATATAAATATTAACTTATTTTTTAGACAGCAGACCTATTTCACTTTGTATACAGCAGATTGAAAAAAAGTAATAAAATGGAATAGAAACTACCCAATAGTTACTATTGGGTAGCCCAAATGTTCTTGGTTAATATTTTACCGTGTATTGTATCTACATGCCATGATTAAATTGTGTTTAATTTAAAATATATCTAGGTCACTTACTTTTTCCAATGCATGCATACTGAACACTGGCCCATCATGTGCCTTAACTGTTTTTACAAGAAAGACATCTCTCCATATACACACGTCTCCTGTGGATGTTCCAGAAAAAGCCATCTCTTCAGTCCATCCATACACTGCACACATCATTGTGTCATTTTTCCCCAGTGTGCCTATATAGCCTTTTCTTCCAATCAATCCTCCCCCTGGTTCATAAAAAATATTATGAAAGTATTAGTCTCAAAATGTTTAAAAATATAAAGCAATAAAACTTCTACTGCTGTTATTTGAATACAAAGACATGTAACAGTAAGGAAAGTTAAAAAGAAAAAAATGGGTTTCTCAATTAATGACTTGGACAACACCTCATCTGCTGAGGCAAGCATATCTTTGGCTGTGTCTAAAAATGCCAAGAAAAAACATCTAAATCAGTTTCAATCAGTCCTTAGAACTTCTGATTTTTCAAATTTTTTATGATGACATTTGAGAATACAAAAAGGTACAAAAAATACAATGAACACCTGTGCATTCTATCCACCATCAATTTATATAGTTACTAAAATAACCAAAACATCAATCCTACCTTTTCCCCTCCCCCTACTATTCTGAATGTGATGTTGATTACAAGATGCATTCCTTTATACATATATTACTACTTTTTTATGACTTCTTAGGCAATATATATTATTTTTCATGTTTTAAAATTTTTCTATAAATACCATCTAATACTATTCTTTTAGACCTTGCCTTTTTACCAATGTTTTTTTATGGGGTTTTTATACATGGAACAGAGTTCAATCCCTCAGAGAAAAGATCAGATCTGGGGTAGGAGGTAAAAAGCTCCCTTTCAGCCTCAGGCCCAAGTCAACTTTAACTTAGTATACATAAAAGTATGCACTTATTCATATTAATTAAGTAGTTGTTTATTTCCCACTTCGCTAGTAAACTCTGAAGATCAAAATCCCAAAACTGAGGAAGGATGAAATGTTTACCAAAGCTTTAATATTTACCATTTTATGGTTTAGTTTTTGGTCTACTATATATCTAATCATATTGAGAAAAAAATGATACATTTGCAAATTTTTTAATTTTAAGGCTATTTACTTTCTTAAGCTCTTTATTTCTAATAAATTTATAGTTACTCTTTTTAAGACAGAAATAATCAAGTTACTTGATGGGCATTTGTTATTTCAAGTGACTAAAACCTCAAATTAAGCTTTCATTTTGTATCTTTTTTTTTAATATGTATTTATTTATGCATACAAGAACTGAGGCTCAGGCCAGAGGTGCGGGGGTGAGAAGATTCACCAGAGACAGGGTGGGGAACAGAACAGACTGACTGAAATACACTGCTGAGGGGAGCAGAGGGCGAGAGAGGTGAGGTCTGCTGCACCATGTGGGTAGCTCCCTGGCTGGCCAGAGAATTAACTCATGCTGCAGAGGCTGTGGACAGCTTCATAGTGCTGTGTTTAACCCCTTGCACCACCACGGAGGCCCTCATTTTGTATCATTTTATAAACATTTTATTTAAATGTATGGGAATGAGTTACAAATGTGAATATACTATTTCTTACTTTGTAATTGTAGGTGATCTGGTGTGTTTATGATAAAGCATTGAATCCAAGTCTGAAAATTTATTCATGGTTTTTTTGTTTTTAAGTATACTATTTTTTAAAAAGATTTATTTATTTATGCATACGAGAGCTGGGGTATAGGCCAGAGTTGTGGGGGGTGGTGAGAGGATTCACCAAAGACAGAGTGGAGAACAGAACAGGCAGACAGACCTAATACACTGCTGAGGGGAGCAGCGGGAGAGGCAGGAGAGGTCTGCTTTGACATGTGGGTTGCTCCCTGGCAGGCCGGGGATCGAACTCGTGCTGCAGAGGCTGCGATTGCCTCACAGTGCAGTGCTTAACCCCTTGCGCCACCAGGGAGGCCCAAATTTATTCATGTTTTATTTAGTTTACAACCTGAAAGTTACTGGAACTTAAGAAAAGTATTCACTAAGCAATTTCACTTATATTTACATATTTTATCTTAAAGTCTTAAACATAGTGAGACATTCACATAGAACTGCTAGAATTTATTAGCGTACTATTCTATTTGGAAAAGAAACTTATATTTTAAAATATAAACTTCCACAGTTTTTAAGAGTTGCAATCACTACTGAAATATATTATTCTGTTTCTATATTATTTTATAGCATATAAACAACTTTTACAAACATTTTCATGTTCAGTTTAGACTAAAAAACAGTAACAGAAGAAATGAATTTGAATATCACTTGATGAATGTCACAAGTTAAATCCTTTTACAAATATGAATACTGTTTACTGTCTCAATGTACCCAATCAAGGACCATATAATAAATCTTATATTTGTTCAAAATATACCAAGATAACTGTGAATCATTTATTAAAAAACTTTTTGTTTTGGATAATTTTAGATTTTCATAAAAGATGCAAAGATAACTCAAGAGTATTCTTGTATACTCCCCTAAACCAATTTCTCCTAATAACCTTAAGTAGACTATTTGTCAAAGTGAAGACACATGTTTGATACAGTACAGTTTGATATTAACTGGACTCTAGACTTCTTCAGATTTGACCCGTTTTCCTACTATCTCTTTTGTGTTCCAGGATCCAACTTAGGATTCCACAATTCAATTAAATTACTGTTCAAAGTAATGACTTCTTAAATTTCAAATTAGCGAAAAAAGCACTTCTTACCTGCTCTGCGCCAGAATTTCATATGTTTAATTCCAACTGTAATTAATTTATCAGGCACATAAGGGTTCATCTTTACAACAAAAATCTTATCTTTACTTCCTCTGAAATAAATATTAAAATGTTTTAATTCTGAAGAGAAACATCTACAATCACCTTTTGCCTAATACATACCCATCTTGATTCTCCATTACTAAATATTTGGCCCATGTCCTTCTCAGGTTTGGGATAAGTAATCATGCACTTGTACATTTGTTATTTTGTCATTATTTTAATATATTAACTTTTCAACAAAATCTCAACACAATCTCAAAAGACAGGAAGTGAGACCTGAATTCATTTGGATAGCACCTACTGCACCCTCTTTATACTACACATGGGAAGTGTTATTGAGTTAAGGAATCATTTTTTATAATACTTTGTTAAATCTTAATTATAACTTCTCCAAATATAGTTTATTTTAAACCATTTTGGTATTTTTTAAATTTTTGTTTATTTTTGCACAGAAGGACTGGGTTTTAGATCAGAGGTGCAGGAGGGGGAGAGGATTCACCAGAAAGAGAGTGGGGAGAAGAACAGGGGATCCACTGCAATACACTGCTGAGGGGAGCAGTGGGTGAGACAGAAGAGGTCTGCTATGCCATATGGGTTAGCTCCCTGGCTGGAGACTGAACCCAGGCCTTAGTGCTGACAGTGGTGAGATTCAACCCCTAGGCCACCAGGGAGGCCCCTCTCAAACTATTTTATATTTCTACACTGTCTATATATTCTGAAAAAAGCATGCAACTATATATTTTTTTCCTTCTTTAAAACTATTATTTCTTGTTGAGATAATACTGGTTTACAGCACTGGGTAAGATTTTTTTTAAAAGATTTATTTATTTATACAAGAACTGGGGAACAGGCCAGATGCGGGGGAGGTGAGAGGATTCAGAGACAGAGCGGGGAACTGAACAGACAGATTGAGTGAAATACACTGCTGAGGGGAGCAGCGGGCGAGACTGGAGAGGTCTGCCGTGCCATGTGGGACCCTCCCTGGCTGGCCGCGATCGAACAGGCACTGCAGAGGCTGCGGACAGCTTCACAGCATGGTGCTCAACCACCTTTGCCAGCAGGGGAGGTCCCCACTGGGTAAGATTTAGAGGTAAAGATTGACACCAATTCAGAAGTAATAACTATACCACACACCTACCACCAAAGCACCCATAACCCCCCCACCACAGTTCTCTGGGCCCTCTCAAACTTTGCCTCCCAACCTTCTCCTCCTCTCCATTATGATAAACAAAATAAGTCAGAAGGAGAAAGACAACTACTGGATGATTTAACTCATGTGGAATGTAGAGAAACAAAGCAAAACAGTCAAACATTTAGAGTTAGCATCTCATTTTAAAAAGTAAAAGTTAAAAAAACTAGTCTCTGACACTGTCAACTATTCTCTCCTTTAAAGCAATTAATACTTACTGTTATAAAAATATTATATACCCATTGTAGAAAATAAAAAATTTAACAGAAAATAGCCTGTAATTTCTTTTATGACATTTGTGTGTATCTTTCACTCAAATATATAAGCTATTTATCATGCTGTTTATCGGCTTAATTCAATTTACCTTCAAATAGAGATTTTAGATAACAGCTATTTCCAATGTAGTATTATAGTTACTATAAAAAGTGGGTTTACAAAGAACAAACCTACAAATGAGTCCTGAAATCATTTGCTTTTTTACCATGATTATACCACTTACACAATGGTAATAAAGATGGCATGTTTGCTTGATTTCAAAACTGTTATAAACAACTTTAAAGTCTAAAGTAATTCCAGTATTGTGCCAATGTTATATCAAGTTTTGTTCTTACCTTGCTATTGAAAGTTTCTCTCCTTTCTTCCAGTCCCACAGGACAATACTGTGGCTCTCATCTATTCCAACTGAAGCCAGACGTTTCCCATCCGCTATGAAAATTAGACAGATACACTGACCATTAACATTCAGAAGGCAAAAAACATTCAATAGGTATTTTAAAATCACACCACCATATTAAAAATTTTATAATATTAGATGTTAAGTATGGTTACTGCTGTAAGAACCGTAATTTATAAGGAAGAACAGCTTCTCAAAGCATTTGAACATATCTGCATTCTCTGACCTCATTTCTGTCCACCAGTTAGAAAGGGGGGAAGGGGGGAAGATAAGAGTGAAAGAGATTGAAAAATGAGGAGAAAAAACTAAGGAAAAAGATTTCTTTCACTTAGATTCATCGTAAGAACTCTACTCTGATATAAGAACTCAATGACTGAAAAGTTATTCAAATGAAAAAGATGTAGGTTACAACGACCCGATGTCATTAATGATATTTTCATAAACGTCAATTTTTTTTAAAAAAATTTATTTATTTATGTATACAAGAGCTGGGGTGTAGGCCAGAGGTACGGGGAGGTGAGAGGATTCACCAGAGACAGAGTGGGGAGCAGAATAGACAGATCGACTGAAATACACTGCTGAGGAGAGCAGCGGGGAAACAAGAGGTCTGCTGCACCATGTAGGTCAGCTCCCTGGCCAGGGATCAAACTCATGCTGCAATGGCGTGGATTGCTTCACAGTGCTGAGACTTAATCCCTTGTGCCACCAGGGAGGCCCAAGGTCAAATATTTTAGATGTTACTGTTATTAAGCAACAATAAATACGTTAGACAATAGAATGATTAAACATTAAAATAACTAAGTTAAGTCAGTCATGCTAACAAGTATGCACACACTGACAGGCTGTAAAGCTCAAGGTATAATAAACTTACTCTGCCACATGTTTTGCAAACCTCATTTAGTTCATTATTACAAATAGTGGTATTTTTCTATGGATCCCTTTAGTTTGCCATTGACTTTCTTATTCTGACTTTTAGCAGATCCTTGATTGCATATACACATTTCCTGTCCTCCAAACTGCTACAGATAATTCACTGTAACATTCATTAGATCAGGAGGCAGTACTAACTTAATTTCTTAATATAAAATTTTCTATAAATGGTATTTTCCTATCCACAACCTAGCTTTCACTGTATCAGTAAACTTTTGAATGTACAGCAGCGTTAACATGATCTGAAATTATTTTGATAAAACAGTTTTGAACTGCAACTTCATAGAAATACAATAAACAAATATATCAATTATCACTTCTTTATTGCTTAGCATTTCTTAGCTTTTACCCTTAACATTTCAAAGTTTACTCTGTGGCTTAAAACATTAAGTGAGATCAGAGTTTATCGAAAATGGGAGAGACATAAACTGATGGCAATTTTTAATTTTTATAGGAACATTTATTTTAATGGGTATTAAAAATTAGTCATTAAATTATAATACACATGCCAGCATATCCACATTTTGACAGTTATGATTGGTTAGGAACAGTATGCATATATAATGAAAATTGTGTAGGTCATAGCTAAGTGACAAGCTAGGCAACACTGAGGTAGACTAAAATGCTATGGATTAACTCTAGATTTTCATCACTGTTATGAGACAGAAAACAGTCTTACCTGAGAAGTCAACAGCACAGACACCATATTGGTGATACCCTTTTAATATTGACAAGGGTTTAATGGTCTCTGTATCCCATATGTGAATTGAGGGGTCCCTACCTACCTAAAGTAGAAGGAATTAAAAAAGTCATTTTATATCATTAAATTATGTATTTTCCTATTTACTGAAAGAAAATGGGATTTTACAGTCTTTGTCTTATTTGCTATGGATATTCACCAAATAAAAAATACAAGGTAGACTATTCATGTGACATTTTTTTCTTATAGTTGTTTAAAAGATAATGAGGCTAGCCTCAGTGTTTCTAGGAATGCTCTAGAATTCTGTGATCCTAAATTTTACCCTATACTTCACCAGCAAAGAAAATACTCACTGAGCACCTATTGTTGGTAGTGTCATCATGCTAGATAAAATACAATTAGCATTCAGGTAAATTTTGCAGACTCACTGGGCAAATAAGGTATTTTCAATTAAATAAGAACATCTGGTAAGATATGCTTAATGAGAATGAAAGGTTGTAGAGAAAAATTTCATGGAAGAGATAATACTTGAGATGGTCTTCAGAAAGTGCAGGTCTTGGATAAAGAGAGATGCAAACAAGCACATCCTAGGCTAAGATAATGGTATAAACAAATTTACAATGGAAATAAAACACCAAGCATGTAAACCAGATTCTGAAGAGATAATTTTACTGTAGCACTCTGTCACTTACCTTTTAACTTGATTTCTGTTGTGTAGTTTACCTATCACACAGGTAACCTATCAATTCTTATTTTTTTTTTAAATTGAGGTAACATGGTTTACAACACTGAGTGTGATGCAGAGGTATAGGATCACACCTTTAGGATGTTTGGCACTATACCACACCTACCACCAAGGCACCCTTAGCCACCACTGTCCACTGGGTCCCCTCTATACTTTGCTCTCCATCGTCCCCTTCCCCCTCTTGTAGCCCCAATTCTACCATCTTATTTCTGGAGTACACTTTTGGTAATCATTTTCTTTATAAAATAGAGATATAATAGGTTTGCCTACAAAGGCAACTCCTGAAACAATTCATATAGCCGTCAATTACTAATTGAGTGGTTTTATACAACAAACAACACTGTGATCAGCCAATATTTTGCTGGAGAGGCACTCAGAGGTAAAATGCTTCATGTTACATTTTAATGAGTTTAGACATTTTAATGAGTTTAGACATTTAGACAAACATCCAGAATGAGTGTGTACAAAGGCAAGAAGATGTCTTACTTGATGTTCCTAGCACATTCCTATATATAGCATGTGCTCTATGAATAGTTTTGAATGGATGAAGAAAGGAAGGAGAAAAGTGAGGGATAAAAGGAGAGAAAGTGAAAGAAGAAGGAAGGAAGGGGGGAGGGACTGGAAGAAAAGGGAGCTTTCCCCTCCTGCAGGAGGCTATACTGGATGACTCGTCGCCCACCCACCGTCAATATATCCTAGATGGTACATTTACATAATTTTAAAACCAGGCAGACGAAGCGCTTTAGGTTTTTATCACTTGCTAGCTGAGAGATCTTTTAACAAATTATTTGTTTCTTGAAACCTTGTGAACTGTGGGAATTCCACTCTCATAGAGGTGAGAACAAAATAGACATTCAGAAACAAGTGCTTACATATAGTAAGAATTTATAAATATCACTCCTTCCCTTCCCTCTGTAAGAATACCCATACAGAGGTATTCGAAGACTTTTCTCAGTGTTTTCTATTTTAATATTTCTGTTTTCTACTTTGCTAAACCTCAATAAATTGCCAGGATGTTTGTTAAATAAAAATATTGTTTGTCATAGAACATATGTTAGATAACCTGACCTAAGAAACCGTTTCTGTATTGGTTTTCTGTAACTTTTATTCACGAGTTTAAAAAAATCTATTATTATTTTGAGACAAAGAAGGTGGAGTTCCCCCAAATGAAAATAATGAAAATAATAAATCTATAAGGAAAACTGTAGGAAAAAAGTTGGGGTAAATTTTATTTGTAACAGGAAGTTAAAATTCCATTAAAAAGAAGTCTCTACTCTTTATTTCCTAGAGTACAAAATATATATACATGGATTAATCTAACTTTAAACCCAAAGGTATAACCTATCTGACCTGTTGGGACATACCTGGCCTGTTGCCACGTAGTCTTTCAAAGGATGAATAGCTAGGCAGAGAATATCATCATCATGCCCCAGGTAAAAGCGCTGTGTGTTCTGTTGTCGATTATAAATGACACCCACTGCTGCCACATGGTACACAATTTCACCAATTTGAGTATAAAACAGGTTACTTCGACAATCATAACCTCTGTAACTAAATATAAAAAAAACTTACAAAATTAATTTTGGCCATTTACAAGAATACCAAACAAGAAATAAAACACAAATGGCTCCGATTCCATAAACTTTTATGAGCTGTTCTGATTACAAATAGCTAAATCCAAGTAAGCTATTTGTGAAAACTGCAATCTAAGCTATTTGTGAAAACAGCAAGGTACAAAGATGCATAAATATTACACTATTATGTACACAAGTATAATGCTAAATTTGTGTACCATAAAATGAAAATAATTTTTTGTTTCACTTAGAAGTGAAATAGTATAGAAAATAATATATTTATATTTGCTTATACATTTGTATTCCTGACACTAAGTAACATGATTACCTTTGGAAGAGGGAATGCTGAATGGGAAGGTACAGGTTGGAGGATTTTTTAAGTATACCCTTCTATTCATGCTGGTGAACCATGAGAATATATTACCAAAAAAGTTGAACAACATCTAAAAAACACTCCAAAGTAGCTGAATATTCTCAAAATGGTCAACATTTTAACAGTGACCTCTTCGTGCTTCAAAGATAAAACAAAACTATGCAGAGGTGATGCCTATTTTAACACTGGGAGAAAAATACTTCTACTAAGTGGATCTTTTTTCAAATTATTAAAAACATTATCAGTCAGGTAAGAAAATGATTTCCTGGTGAAAGAGTCAGATTGGAAAACTTGTTGTTGCCAGGATGAAATGTGAAATCTGTATTGCCAGATGGTCTAAGAAAACTCATAAACTGTATTTGATTGAAATTAAAATAAGGCAAAATGTTCTCAGGTCAAAGGCCAACACAAATCATCCCAAATTAGATAAATCAGATTATTAATTAAGATGACAATCTCTCTCATTTTACCTATTTTCATTTGTTGACAGAGATCCATTTCTATAATACTAAAATTTCTTTAGAAAGATTAATTTAATAAACACTTATAGTGTTTATTATGTGCAAGACAACATTCTAAGTAACCACAAGTATTGACATATTCACTCCTCATTCAAAGCTGGTGAAGTAGGGACTATTATCTCCATTTCACAGATGAAAAAAACAGAAGCAGCGAGCAATTAAGTGACTGGCTCAAAGTCACACAACTAGTCTATGTGAACCAAAACTCAGACACATGAATGAAAAATAGTCACTTTATACCCGTGAACAAAGTGTAATCGAATACTATTTCCTGGAGCCTGTTCTTTTCTTTTAGAAGTACCACCTTTCTGTTTCTCTTTGCATTGTTCTTTAAGCTGAGGTAGATCTTCTTTGTAAACCTTTAGACACAAAAGTAGAAATGGCCTTAGAATATATATTAATAAAGGTATTCCCAGATTCCCAGATAAACAGTGTGGTCACTATTGGTCATTAAAGTTTAACAACTGTTTGAATAGAAAGGTACTTTGTGAAATTTACTTCCTTGGAAACAAACAAACTAATGCATATTTCCTATCTATCACACGAACTCAAATTTAGTGTTCCAGGAAATTTTTATACTTCATAAGGGGATATTTTCATGGGAATAAATGGGAGTGTACTGTGATATAACTACAAGCAGATATAATACAGGCACTTAGCATATCAAGTTCTGGTTGTAAAAGAACATTTTATACAGTGTACTTTAACTCTTAAAGGGAGTTATACCTGAACCAATGCATTCTCCTTCTATTATCTTAATTATGATCAAAGGGGTAAGATATTCAGTTAATAATTTACTGACTCAACAAAACAAGTTCTGGCTGTAAAAGAACATTTTACACAGTGTACTTTACCTCTTAAGGGGGGAAATGAATAGCCAGCCATACATGTCTGGGAAAATTAAAAAGGACAAAAGATGACAATAGATGACTAAACAACAGGGAGAAAGAGAAGAAACTAGACTTTTTTCAGGGAAAAAATATGTGGTACTAGAAATTACCTGCCGACGGTAGGTAAGCTGTGTCTCTTGCTCAATTTCAGAATCTAGTTCTGGAACATCAGACAGATCTGAATCTGATTCATCACTATTAGAGTCAGCCAAACTTTCTGTAATTTTTAAAAATAAGTTTTTACTTCTTTAGAGAAAATTCATTTTTAAAGCAGCACTGAAAAATAAATGATTGAGGTGACTGTGCCAATTGACAGAGAAAAAGTCACAGGACAATCAAATGAAATCACCTATTCAAGTGACACTTAGTCAGTAAACTCTACCACAGATTATCTTCCTCTCCACTCACTGTAAACTCAGGAGCTCCTTTAAATCCCTTAACATAAAAAATATCTGGAAAACAAGATATAGATGGAACAGATGAACTGACATAATCTTAAGAAACCTAATACCCATTTTCCAGAGTACACACTATTTTGCTAACATAACTATTTCTTCACTATCATTTGATAGATCAAAAGGCAACCAAAAGTAATTTGTACTTCATGGTATGTAACCATTTACATTAAACATACAGCCTAATATTTTAAGATTTCCACTAATAATAAACTATACTGTTAACTTATGAGGCTACATTACATGTCAATAGCAAAATTGTTATTTTGGGGTTACTGGAGACTTACTTGACAGAGAGATTTTCTAGGCAGTGTACTACTCACCTTGGGGTGCTATGTGAAGAGCATCTTTTAGTTTTCTTTCAGGAATAAATTTCCACTGAAAGACAGAGTGATCTGCTCCACCAATAGAAATAACCCATTGATAATCATGTGACCATCTGACATTAGTTACATGAGCTGAATGGCCAATATATTTTTTAAACTTGGCCCCTATAACAACAACAACAACAACAACAAAATCTTTAAATTAACAAATGCCAACACACAAAAATATCACTTCAAACAGTATCTATACCTGAACCAATGCATTCTCCTTTTATTATCTTAATTATGATCAAAGGGGTAAGATATTCAGTTAATAATTTACCGACTCAACAAGTGAGTTTACATCAACATATACAAATCTTTGTTCTACTAATTCACAATATAATTTAGTAGGAACCAAGGGCCATAAGGGTTTATTTTACTGCTTTGACAAAAGCATGTAGTCACAAGAGGATCAAATTGTTTTCATATTAAGATTTTTAAACGTTTCACCTGAGGCCTTTGGTCGTAAATAAAATTCAACCACTCTACCCTCATTATTTTCAGCACAAGAAGCCAGAGGATTCTTTTAAAATTTAAGTCATCAATAAAAAAAATAGCAAACCAAATACGGCAACATATAAAGGATTACATAACATGAGCAAGTGGGATTATCCCAAGGATACAACTTTCATAATTGTAATGGGCTTATTCAACTTCTGTGTCTTCTTGGTTTAGCCTTGGTAAACTATACTGTTCTACAAATCTGTTCATATTTAGGATCAAACTATTTTAGCTGCTCCCACAGTTACCTTTTATTAAATTGCATTTGGTTTATCTAACAAAGTATGGTACCTGCTAGAGGTGCTGATCATCTAAAATACACACTCAAATGTCCTCATATAAGATTCCATACCACAGGAGAGAATTCCTTGAGAATTAAATGTCAGAATAACTTTGCTTCCCCTGAATAGGGGAAGTATGCTTTTTAAGATGAAATAAGTATGCTTTTTAAGATAAAATGAAAATTATCTTGTGCCTTGTTCCCTTTTATTTATGGTTTTCAGAAATTCAGACTCAATTTTGATGTTTGATAACTACCATATTCTTTACCTATTTTTAATGAGGTGCTTTTATTTAAGAAATTAATTTAGTATCTATGAACTTGTTATAACCCTACTTAAATACTTTATTGAACAAGGCATGGAATAAATGACTAATACTTCATTTCATTTACTTATCCCCAGGTCTATGAAAAAAACTACTAATTGCTTTTGAAGAGATCTAAGAAAAATAGATGATATATAAAATATGTAGAAAATGATCAATGATAAGATCCCTTAGTTTTCTTGCACCCCACTATTACAGAAATAAACAAATATTGAAAGGATATATGTTAAAAATATAAGCAAAACCACCACTCACACATGAAAGTCAACCAACAAATCAATAGTTCCAAACTGTGTCCTGAACTTGTATATTAGCTATGTCATCAGAGTTGTTAAGAAAAAAACATAAGAAACATGTTTCCTAAAAGTTAACAAGTTAAATGACTGAAAATAAGAAGTCATAAAAAAGTGTATCATTTCTTCTGACTATATGAAGAAATTCTGGAAGCAGGGAAATTATGACTTTACAAAAAGAAAGAAGTATAATATTAGCTCAAATTCATAATACACGAATTTATTTTTTTTTTAAAGATTTTTTATTTATTTATACAAGCACTGGGGGTACAGTCAGAAGCTCGGGAGGGTGAGAGAATCCACCAGAGCCAGAGCGGGGAGCAGAGCAGGCAGAAGGACCGAAGTACACTGCTGAGGGGAGCAGCGGGCGGCAGGAGAGGTCTGCGCGCCATGTGGGACCCTCCTCCGGTGGCCGGGGAGCAGCCAGGGATCGAAGCGGCGCTGCAGAGGCTGCGGGCAGCTTCGCAACCCAGCGCTCAACCGCTGCGCCACGGGGGAGGCCCCATAATACACGAATTTAAAAATCACTTTCTAATAAAAACTTCATGATCAAAAACAAATATAACACATGACAAGAAGTTTTGCATTAACAAAATAGAATCAGTCAACTCTGTTCATTTTTGTGAAATCCCTTATAATCACTACTCATATTTTAAAAAATAAAAACCCTTTTATTTATTTGAAGACTAATTTTCTGCAATCCCTTAAAAATTTTTTTTAATGGACAGGTTATTTAATAATACATTGAAAGAAAAAATACCTTTCCTTAAACAAGGATATCGGAATAACTTTACAATTCCATAGTCATCAGCTGTAACTAAAACTTGGCCAACATAGTTTCCATCGACTGAATTTATGTCATTGATATCTGAATACTTGGGCCAGATTCCATTTACTTCAAGGCCTGAAACACACGTCCATGAAGCCCAATGAACACATTTTATTTCTTCTTTATTTGTCACTTCTTTTCCTCCTAAAAACAAATCATAGTCTTAGTTTAAGAAGCTACTTCATTTGATTTTTTAATTAAGCATAAATTGTAACATGGTAGACTCCAAAATTTAAATATCTTCCCACCCCTGTTAAAGGAGAATACATGGAAAGGTAAATGAGTATGGTAAAGAGAAGAGAAAGTTAAATGCAAGGAATTTAAAAAAAAAAAAGCTACTAACAAAATTATTCAGAGACACAGATTTGAGTATGACATAGCTTATTTAAGAAGGTTTCCAATGTGGAGTAAACTGAATCCTATTAAACTTAAGCTACAGATTAATTACAATATGGTAAATTATAAGAAAGGTAAAGTTACAAGAAAGTACCAAATTGGGTATGAAAGAAGAAACCTAAGAAGTTGAGGAGAGAGAGAACTGAAAATGACCAGAAAGGAAGAATGAGTGGGGAGTAGTACCTTTTATATTAGAGAAAAGGTCTCAGTCAATCTTCATTAGATACAGAATTTTAATGAAAAACTTTTGGAAACATGCATTAATTTAATCATGCAGTTAGTCTTATTAAATAAGTTCTTAGAAAATAGTGACTAATTCACTAAGTATCATACTAAATAAAGAATTGAGAGTTACTATTTTGATGATTCTGTTTTTATTACTGTTTTAAAATCTTTGATGAGATGTTTGTTTTTCAATTGTAGTTTCAAATTTATATTATTATTTGGAAAGTTTATTTAGGTAATCACTGAAAAAAGCAACTTTTGATCACACTTTTATAGCAATTATATTCAGTCAATTAAATGGCATTTTCACTTCTAATATATACTGGCTTTAACCACATACTACTCATATGGAACAAAATTCAACATGAAGTAGTTCTATTCTACAACCTCCAAAGAAAGCAGTTTTAATTAGGAACTAATAGATTTTCAATATAATAGTGCAGCCTTATAGAAAAGATCACAATGCCCAAAACATTAGCTGAGAGTTTGATTTTCTATACTTAACGTACACTATGTTCCCAGTGAAGTTTGAAAATATTTCACAGGCACTAAAAAATCCATAGATAATATAAAATTTATTAGAAATATTTACCTGGCATCCTATAAAAAAGTCTTTTACCATGTCCATCATTTGTTTGTAAATATCTACTATCTGAGGACCAGTCCAGATGAGTGATGAAACTAAGTGATCCAACACATTCCCCCAATTTTTTATAACGCTGAGCAACTCCATAAATATCAACTGAACTGTCATTACATCCAACAGCAAGGTATGTTCCATCTGGTGAATATTTTAACTCATGAATTGCTTCCTTCCTATCTTTAATATGTACAACTTCTGTCATATCTCTAAAAAGAAAAAAAAATTAGAACATATGAAAAAAGTCACTACAGAATTAGCTCAGTTTTCAAGTGAGGTTTTATCAAATTTTTATAAATCATAAAATAAATATAAATGAAACAAGCAGTACTAATTCAGGAATTATTAATTATTAATTATTTTACTAAACAGAATTAAATGATCCTAAAATATGCTGAGAAAAATACAGAATTTCAGTTTATAACTTAAGAACTTTAGAGACTCAAATTGAATTTCTGGAGTTATGCAATAAAGTCAAAGACTTTTATGATGAATTTCCTTATAAATAATGAGTTTATGAAAAATGTATAATTATAAGCACCACGATTTACAAATAGGTTTTTGTAGTGAGCCAAATGTGCAAAATTACATTCAGGAAATGAGGAACTGATTTAGATTACTTCAATAATACATTTGAGTGTATATCTTTATATAGCTACCACTAGTTATTTCTTTGATCTTTCAATTCTTCCCAATCAGGAACCATATCAAGCAGAAGTTAAACCTTTTTTTTTTCAATGATGTCTTATAAAAGAGTTTTCAAAATAATACAGGTAGTATTGGTTACAGCCATGTAAATGGATAAGCAGTTTAATATCATTGAGTTCCCAAAGTTGTGAAGTTAGTAGTAAGGGGGTAGGGAGTGGTGGGGAGAAAGGGCAGGAAGAAATGAGAAATTCTATTTCCACTTAGTACTAGAGACTTTTTTTCCACAAAAATTTTGCATCACTACCTGAAATTCATCAAATAGTAAATTTCAGAGACAAACGTATATTTCCCAATTTTTAAAATTTCTTTTTTCAATTGAAGCACACTACATTATAACATTATTTAATGTGTTTATCATCAAGAATCAACACAATAAACTAATTTGCCGTTAAAATTCCAACTTCATCCCTTCATTACACCATTGTCCCATTTTCTCAGTTTACCCACCCTCCTCCTCCGCTTCCCTTCTGGTAACCACTAAAGTTTTAGAAGGACAATTTAGAGCAATCAAACTTAAATTTCTTTATGTAACACTTAATACTAGTTTAACTTTGTTCTAGGCACTAGGGATACAAGCACCCCTTCTTCTGTGAGATATAAATTAAATTTTATGATTGATACAATGTGGTTGAGCGCTCAAATGGTTTGCATGACTTTCTAGAAGATAGTAAGGGAACAAGGAAGAATGACATCTATTTTGAGCATAAAACCTGAGGAGTCAGCTAGGTATAAAAAGGGCGGGAAGATTTTCCAGGAAGAAGATACAGCATGAACACAAGCATAGAAGAAGGCAGGTATATAGCACATTAGAAAAATAGTAGATGACATAATGCGAGCACCAGAATGAGTGGGTAAAGTAATGATTGATGGGTTAAAGAAATAAATGGAAGACAACATGTAAGGGAGCAGATATGTTGCCAACAAGTTTGGATCTGGTGTTAATCATAAGGAAAGAACGGGAAATCAACCCGTTAATTTAAAACGGTGATCAAATTAAAAAAACCCACAAAACACTATATTCTAAAAAAGATTTTCTGGCTGACTTATTTGCCTTAGAACCTTCAACTTGCAAGGTCCCCTTCCAAGCACAGACTTGTGTAGCTGCCTCTACCTTTCCCTTCTCTCCTTCAAGTTTTAATTAAATCTACATGTTTAATTTCCCTTTGCTCTATTACCTATCTTTCCATCCATTCTCCTATTCATCTATTTATATCTACGTGGGGCAAGATTTTTAAGAAAACAAAAAGAAAGCTCTCCTGACTGCCTGTGACTTTGGGGGTGTCTCTTTTTCTTTCTCTTTTCCTAGTAAACCTGTCCTTTTTAAAATGTTAAAAACCAAACCAAACCAAAAAAAACAACCAAAGCATTATTTGATAGCTTTACTTTTTATGTCTCCTTTATTAAAATAGCAATTCTCACCTTACAAACATCAATTAGAATGCCCTTGGAAAATTCTCCAGAATTATTTTGGTGTTTTTTTTTTTTTATAGCTTTTTTGTTCCAGAGACTTAATGCTGCCATTTTTTAAGTGACTGTTGAGGTAACATTAGTTATATCACTGTGTAGTTTCCAGATATACACTTCTCACCTCGGCAACTGTATACATGTCACCTCCTGCCCATCATCAACCAATCAACTCCCTCTATTTCCTGCTCCTTCCTTCCCCTCTGGTAACCATCATTCTTTTGTCAAAGTTTAAAGGTTTGTTTTTGTTTTGTTAGTTCAATTGCTTTTTTTCTTTATACACCACAAATGAGGGAAATCATATGGCATTTGTCTTTCTCCTGATTTGTGTCACTTAGTATAGTCTTTGGTTCCATGCATCTTGCTACAAATGGCAAGACTTCACCTATTTTCTGGCTGAGTAGTATTCCATTGTGTATATATACTACATCTTCTTTATCTAATCATTTGTTGTTAGGCACTTGGATTGTTTCTGTATCATGGTATTGTGAACAATACTGCAATGAACATTTATCTTTTTTATTTAGGGTTTTCATATTCCTTGGTACAAACCCAGAAACAGGATTACTGGATCATATGGTAGTTTTATTTATTTTCTGAGAAACCTCCATTATGTTTTCCATAGGGGCTACACCAACTGACTTCCCCACCAACAGTGCCTAAAGGGCTCCACTTTCTTTACCAACTGTTCCCAATTAAGGAGAAACAAGTTTGGCTTATGTTCCAGATTGTCTCTTGCTTTCTGCCATCATGTCCCTGCCTACCAACACATGAGCCATCATGCTCCTGTGTGCGTGTGCACATGCATACACACACATACACTATAAAAACAGTGATAGGGATAGAGATTCTGACTGACTGATGATTTTGTAATATGCAAATGTCATTTCAACATTATTGATTACATGACTCTTCTCTCATGAAGTTTATTTGATAAACTTGTGGGAAAGAAAACTGTTAAACGAACATTTATTAAAAACATTCTGAATTAAGTCTTCTGACTTAATTCAATATGATTTCTATGGTTTCTTTAAGAAGCAGAGGGAAGCCTGTGGCTAGGAATACTCATACTCATACTCATTAGCATGTTACACCTTTGTAAAGAAATACAGTTTTCATCAGAATATGTAAGAGAACCGTCCCCAGCAGAAGGAGTTAGCAGAGACAGATCAAAGGAAAGAGAATTTAAACTTCATTTTGATGAATTAGTGGGATTTAGCTCAGCATAAGGTAGGAAGTGGGAGGAAAAGGAACCATAGTCCAGCAGAGATAACAGTATGTGAAAAAGCTCATGGCAAGAGAAATTATTCAAGCTTAGCTTGTGGAAGCCAGTGTAATTGTAATGACACAAGCAAAGGGGACTTTGGTGTGCAATGAATTTAATGAAGGAAGCTGAGGGAAAACCATAAAAGAAACACATACATCCTGCTAAGATTTTTAGTCCTAATTAGTAAGTTTAAATTAGGGTAGGATGAATCAGATCACTCATTTGGTTTGATCATAAAAAAAAAAATTGAAGAATTATAATAGTAGAATCAAGACCAGTTAGAAGGCTACTACAGATGGTGGGCTCAGACTTCAGAAAGAAGTAAATGATTATATATATATATATGCAATTATATATTATAGTCTATACTTCCTATAGTATGAAATACAAAGTATACATTAAAGATATTGTAAATCTAGTTGTACTCACAACCATTCATTTAAATGTTCCAGGCAAGCAAAATCAACGAGAGAGAGGTATTGAGGATGTCCTAGGTTTTTAAACAAGAACTTGGACAATGATGTCACTCATTAGGATAGGGCCCACAGACAGATCTGTTTGGGAGGGAGAACCTTGAGTTGGACATAGTAAAATGAACTGGAGATGTCTTTGAGACATTCATGAGATATTAAATAAGCAGCTGGATGTGCATGTTGGAGTTTAAGAAGAGATCAGGGCTAGAGCTATGCATCAGAGATCATCAGGCTAGAGACAAGATAGGATTACTAGAGAGAAAAATACAGAGTAAAAATAGCAGAAAGTTTGAGCTTTGAGGTTCTCCAACATACACTGAAAGGCAAAAAAAATAATAATAATAATTACCCTATGAAGAGAGTGGGGCTAGACACGTAGGCTGAAAAGTGAGAAAGAATTAATGCTCCCAAACCAGGAAAAAGAATGTTTTGAGAAGGAACAAGTGGTTAAGAGGGTTAAATATTGCTAAGAATCAAGCTAAATGAGAACTGAAAAATGTCTCCTAGTAGTGACAGAAGGTAATATCAGTGAGGGTTTTTCATTGTAAACATATGAAGGAAAACGCTAAAATGGAATGGGGGTAGGAAGTTGATAAATTAAAAGAATGTAAATAGTCAGTATGGGGGAATTTTACTGGGAAAGAGCAGAGTAGCAATGTGATTACAGAGGTAGGAACTTTATCAGCATGTTTTAATAGTACTTTTGGGAGGGGGTAACAAAGAATCTTTGATGTGAAAAAATAAAGGACATAGACAAAGAGTTTTTTCCAAGCCAGGAAAGAACTTTTGAAATAGTATTCCTAAGAAATGGAACAGACAAAATATAAACAGATTGATTTAAAAAAAAATAAATGAATGTGGCTATATAAAAGCTATCCTAATTCTTCTAAAGTTGATATAACTTTCTGACATTGTCAGGAAGAGGCAAATGGCTAGCCACTTGTAGAATTTAAAATGGCAAAGTTAATGTTTTCTTAAGTAAAGTCTACCACATAACTTGAAGAACACCCTATGTCCTTCAGCATAATTTACTAACGGTGCTTATCAAACTCTTCCACTGAGGTCTCCCTAACTATTCCTAAGAATGAGTAAGTGCCTCTGAGTAGTTTGGCACTGATAATACCATATAGCCCCCTACAAGTCAAAGTTCCATACATACACACTATGTTATTTTCTAATATGAAAAATATTTGCAATTTTTCATTTGCCTCCAGAATATTTTCTTTTAATATAAAATTTTATCAGAAGGAAAAAGCTGTTTTAAGAAGTGATCTGATTTTACCTGGGCACATTACCTTATACCTCAATTTAAGAATCAGTGTGTTAGATTCTAATTTGTACAGTTTCCTTCAACCACACCATAATCACTCCTTGTGAGGATACTATAGTACTGTCATTCTTTTGAATCCTGCTTTATAACATGGAGAATATATGCAGCAAACCAAAAAGAAATAGTGACTAGGTAAACTAACAAGAATTAAGAGTATTTCGTGAGTTAGAGTTCTGTGGTTAAACTACAAAGGCAATCAATATAGTAATAATAACCATCCCAAAAATCCAATCAGCAACGTTGACTCAATTGCTAACATACTGACTTATTAGAGATAAGAACTCATTCGCCAGTTTCTTGCTTACAATAATTATAAGGGCAAGTAAATGCATAATTTTCTTAATCATTATTTTTAATACACACCAGATGAATGACAGGGATCCTTAAGGTGTTTTACATGCATTTTCAATTCTTGGCAGCATGACAACGTAAACGTAATTAACACCACTAAACTTTACACAAAATCAAGAAGAGAGAAATGAATTAAAGGTTTCTGCATTGGCAGTTGGTGAATGGTACTACCATTTACTAAGCTGGCAAAAAAAAAAAAGATTTCATAAATACTCATCCTTCTGAACATGCATGGATCTATATCAAATCTTTTTTTTAAGATTTTTTTTTTATTTATACAAGAACTGGGGTACAGGCCGATGTGCGGGAGGGTGAGAGGATTCTCCAGAAACAGAGTGGGGAACAGAACAGGCAGACTGACAGAACTACACTGCTGAGGGGAGCAGCAGGTGAGACAAGAGGTCTGCCACGCCATGTGGGTTGCTCCCCAGCCAGCTGGGATCGAACCTGTGCTGCAGAGACTGCGCACAGCTTCACAGCACTGTGCTCAACCGCCTGCACCACCAGGGAGGCCCCTCTATCAAATCTTTTAATGGCTGCATAGAGTTCAAGTGAACATACAATGTCTATAATCCAACACAAGATGTTAACTGCTTTAACAAATTCTTTAAAATTTTCTAACTACTATGGGATGCAGGCATTTCCCCCCCAAAGCATAAGGTTGCTAATAACAACTACAAACCATTCACCACAACTGTTAAGCCCGGAGGTCCTTCCCAATTTCCATGGCAGAGGCCATTACTAAAAATTAATACTATTAAGGAATGGAAGTTAGGACCCAAATTTATATCTCAAAATTTTAGCCATTAATCTTTTAATCATGTTCCCAAAGTCAAAGTTTTTGGGTTAATTTTCTATTAAAGTGATTTTTATAAACATATTTTAAAAAAAATTTTATTTATTTATGCATACAAGAACTGGGCTGTGTACAGGCCAGATGTGCAGGGGGTGGGGGGTTAGAGGATTCACCAAATACAGAGTGGTGAACAGAACAGGAGGAATGACTGAAATACACTGCTGAGGGGAGCAGTGGGCGAGTCAGGAAAGGTCTGCTACGCCATGTGGGTTACTCCCTGGCCAGCCGGGGATCAAACTTGTGCTGCAGAGGCTGTGGACTGTTTCCTAGTTCGGTGCTGAACCCCTTGCGCCACCAGGGAGGCCCCTTTATAAACATATAACTATTAAAATTAGTATCTGAATATATATATTAAAAGTGAAGCGATCAAAAGGAATTAGGTGAAAACAATGAGTATTACATATTCTTTCTCACTGAACAAACAATTATTCACTTCTCTTTCTACCTTAATGCCATACCTTACTCTAAGTACAGTGAATGAGCCATCCTTCATTCCAAGGGCAAGGTGGATTCCATCTACATTCACAGCTGCACAACGGATTGGTTCTTCCATGTTACACCTTGCTATTAGTGCATGGTCTACTAGGCTCCATATCCTGTGACATTTAATTAAAGTAAAAAAAGTTAACTAATGTTTGCTTAAAAATGGTACACTTTTTTTTTTAAAAAAAAAGAAATCCTATGGATGAAGAATATTTAATTAAAATAATATTTCAGTAAAACAGTTTCAGATATTTTAACTGTATCCTTTGTGGCAAGAAATTATTATCTATGAAAATAAGAATACAGCTCATGCTTCATTATGATTAAAATCAAGTTGAATCTTTTTAAAACAGCGTAAATGACATTCATTTTGTCATGCATTCATTTCATAGGCAGATGATTTCTACCCCAATCAAAGGGGATATATATACATAAAATTTTTCAAGAATAGCATTCAAGAATATGTAAATTCAGTCTTATGCTAGAAATCTACAACAGGTTAGTAGAGTTAAGTACAAGTAGGTAGAAAATACCCATTGTTTTAAAATTATGAATTGTACTTCCAAATAACCTAAAGGACAATGGCAAAATCCTAATGAAAAATAGTCAATATTTTGAAGTTGAAAACTGTTTCATATCAAAATGTGTGGGGTATCTCTGAAATAGTACAAGTTTAAATATAGGACAAAAACAAAGGATATAACTTAGTAAACAAGAATCTATCCCAGGAGATTAGAAATAGATGGGCAAAACTAAGGAGATTTTAAAAAATGTTTTTTATAGCAGTATTTTTAAAAATTGTTATTTTAGAAAAAAATGCTTTATTAATTTTATGTCCAGATTTGCTAAATTTGTTTTAATTACAACAATTTCTCTGTATTTTTTCCTTTTGATTTTCTTTTTTAAAGATTTATTTATTTATTTATTTATTTATTTATTTATTTATTTATTTAGAGGCATGTTTTATTTATTTATTTATTTGTTTGTTTGTTTTGTTTTTATACATGCACTGGGTACAGTCAGAAGCGCGGGAGGGTGAGAGAATTCCCCAGAGCCAGAGCAGGGAGCAGAGCAGGCAGAAGGACCGAAGGACACTGCTGAGGGGAGCAGCGGGCGGCAGGAGAGGTCTGCGCGCCATGTGGGACCCTCCTCCGGTGGCCGGGGAGCAGCCGGGGATCGAACCGGCACCGCAGAGGCCGCGGGCAGCTTCGCAACCCAGCGCTCAACCGCTGCGCCACTGGGGAGGCCCAAGATTTATTTATTTTATACAAGAACTGGGGTACAGGTTAGAAGCTTGGGAGGGTGAGAGAATTCACCAGAGCCAGAGCGGGGAGCAGAACTGGCACACTGAGCGAAGACGATGCTGAGGGGAGCAGCGGGCGAGGCAGGAGAGGTCTGCTACGTCATGTGGGGTTCTCCCTGGCTGGTGGGGAATCGAACCGGTGCTGCAGAGGCTGCGGACAGCTTCGCAGCCGGGCCGTTCAACCGCTGCACCACCAGTGAGGCCCTCCTTTTGATTTTCTATATATACAAGCATCACACCTGCAAATGACAGCTGTCTTCCTTTCCAATGCAAATATCCATATATATCCCTATATGAATATAGTATTACACCTTATATTTACATATATTTAGATAGATGTGCATGTAAATATCCCTCTCTAAATATTAATATACCTCTATACACACACACACACACATATATATGAATCTTACTATGCTGACAAAAACTTCTAGTCTATAGCTGAATATATACTGGTGAAGGTAGGTATCATCTTCCTGATTTCAAAGGAAAACTTTCAGTGTTTTACATCAAATATGATATTTATTGAAGAGTATATGTTCTACAGGGGTCAGCAAATCACAGTCTGGGCTTTCTGCCTATTTTTATTATTATTTTTTTAAAGATTTATTTATTTATGCATACAAGAACTGGGGTACAGGTCAGAGGTACAGGGGGGGTTGAGAAGATTCACCAAAGACAGAGTGGGGAGTAGAACAGGCAGATGGACTCAAATACACTGCTAAGGGGAGCAGCAGGCGAGTCAGGAGAGGTCTGTTACACCAGTCAGGAAAGGTCTGCTACGCCATGTGGGTCACCTCTGTGGCTGGGGATTGAACACGTGCTACAGTGGCTGCAGATAGCTTCAGACCCACTGCCTATTTTTATACAGTCTGCAAGCTAAGAATGCTATTTTTTAATTGGTGAAAAAAATATTAAAAGACCAATACTTTGAGAAAATAATATGACGTTTAAATTTCAGGGTCCATAAAATTAATTTATATGGGAACACAGCCACACTTGTTTCTTTACATACTGTGTATGGCGGCTTTCACAGAGGCAGAGTTGGGTAGTTGCAAACATGAGCGAATGTGAGGCTCACATCACTTTGCACTTCTTTGGAACACCACAAATTGTAGTAACATAGAGACAACTTGGCAAAATTTTGAGTGCTACATGTTTTTCATACAGTGAAATTTTATTTTTTTTTCAGTACATACTCATAGTGTCAAAACAAAAATAGAGGAGAAAAGTGAACTGTGAATGTTACATTTTTAAGGCTTAGTGGATTATGTTGCCATTGAATTAGATAGTTAATTCAGTGATACTATAGCTACCCAAAAAAATACAAATATACATTTATATTTCTAGACTAAGCACACAATATTTTTGTTTGATTTTTTTATTTGCTTTTTAAAATTTTCCTATATTGTTGCTTATTTTTGTACAATAATTGAGTCCTTCAGTCATGTGTAGTCCGTTAGTCATGTAAATCTCCCACCACCATACCATCTGTGAACCATCACCATAGGCCTTTGAAACACACAATCTTTTTAACTCACAAGAGAGCAATGGTCAGAAAAATTAAAATACCTCTTTCACAGTAGAATTTCTTTACAAATTAAAAAATTAAAATGTGGTTTCAACAAAAGCTTCTGAGTTCATTTGTTAGCCAAGCAAGGAAAACTGTTTATTGGTAATGGATTAACTAAATCATTTTGGACTGCAGCAGTTAAAGAAATGTGTCTAAGAAAATAAATTTGGTTAAGACTATTAGCCTTTCAGTGAGAACACATGTTCAATGTGTTGAAGGTTTTAGGAACAATACCCAACAGTTAATTAAAAAACAAGGCAAATGATTTTGAGTGGTTTTTCTTGAATCTCGATAAGTCAACAGCTGTTACCAATACTACTCAGTTTTTGTTTTCTTCAGGAGCCAATGCCAAGTCTGCAGTGATGAAAGATGAGCGTCTATGAGTGATGTATATGAAACAACTGCAGGCTAGAGTACTTACAAAGGCATTGAGAAAGCACTAATCCAATACAATATAAAGTTGGAATCAGAGGGTAGTAAAAAAAAAGGACAAATTTACAAATCTTATGGAAATGAAGGTATTTAAAGTCTATGGTTATTCATGTTTATTCTTTAGCAAGTATTCTGTAAAAAAAAAAAAAATTGAACCATGGGGTTTTTGAATGAATAGCACTAACAGTGAACTACATTTGCTTTTGTAGATTTAACCACTGTCAGTCCTGTGAGTTTTTGTCAGGAAAAGAAGCAGATAATCCTGACTTGTCTAGCTCACAGTGAGTTTCCTTCTGGGCAGAAATGGGGCATCTCCACACCATAAAACAGCAGCACAATAATGGCATGAACGACTAACATACCACTTGAAAAATCAGCAGCAATCTGGAAAGAATTAAGTGCATCCCACCTCAGTTCTTACACAAAATTTTACGGGTTAGGAATTAAACACAAAAAATTAAAATAAAAGAATATATTGGAAAACTTTTTAAGCTTGGGGAAGAGTTATCTATGATAGAAACTCAGACATTATAACAGAAAATACTGATAAATTCAGCTGCACAAAATAAGTAACAACAAACTGATGCATGACAATAAACAATCTCTGCAAAGTAAAAAAGCAAGTAACAAATTGGTGAAAGTTACTTGCAACTTATAAACACTTAATATCCACAATATATACAGAGAACTGTTAAAAATAATGTAAGATCTATAACCCTATGGAAAATATGGCAAGAAATGTGACTAGATCATAGAAAGGATTCTAGGGAATTAATTATTTTAAAAACTAGTAAATGGGAAAGAACTAGGGACTCTTGTTTTTCCTATACAAATTGAATCCAGGATAACCAGAGTTCATGAGGAGACATTCTCTATAAAGAAATATTTCCAGAAAGAAATATGGTAGTTAACAGAATGATGAATGATAAAGCCATAATAACTACCATTTGAAACCCTTAATAAAAATAACAGATCTCTCAGTATGTATTCTCAATAGGGGCAATGCTGTCTCAGGGCGATTAAAAAAATAGTTCTTAGAGATGAAAATATTAATTATTAAAATGGTGTGTGACTCTTTAAAGAGACATGGTACAAAAAAATAGATATACAGTTTTTGTGGTGGTAAAGTTTTATTGGGGGGGGGAATGGGATTAAGGGGGAAAGTGCCTAAAAAAATCTCAGAATTTAAAAAATTTTAAAACATGAGTAAACAATTACAATGAAGGGACTTTAACGGATCCTAATTCTAAAAAGCAAAAGGAATGGTGTGTGATGAAAATACTTTGGGGATATCTAGAGTTACCTTTTGAAACACAAATGGAAAATATGTACAGATGAAATGGGGGGGGTGGAAGGATGAAAAAGTGGTAAAATTATCTTAACTCCTATCACTGACCAGTAGTTCTCAAACTTTAGTGTACACCATTGAAACTTGGGGCTTGTTAAACCACAAATTGATGAATTTCTGATATTAGGTTTTAAATAAGGCATGAGAAAAGGCATAGAAAAGGAAATACAGTAATTTTCCAAATGTATGAAAACATACTCAATAGCCTTCAATATGAGAGAAAGGCATGTTTTCAACACAAATGATATCATTTTTCAAATTCTAGGTAATAGTCTGGCAAGAGTATGAGACAACAAGTACTATTATAGCTTACTGATGTGATAGAGAGGTAAATTTTTATCACCACTGTGTAAGGCATTATCAAAATTTAAAATGCATATATCCTTTAAATATAGAAAACTTATCGTAGGAGATAGAAGTATTTACACATGTACAAAAATGGCATAGGTATAAGGATAATCATTGTAAGAACTGCATTTATAATAGCACAAAACTGGAAGAACCTAAACTCCCACTAATAATAAATTAGTTGATAAATTACAACAAACCCAAGCAGTAGAATATTGTAAAGCTGTTTAAAGGGTAGCAGTAGCTCTGCACATCCTGACATGGAACAAACTCCAGTTTTCATTTTTAAGAGAAAAACACAAATCTTATAATTGTTAATTCTATTAACTCTAAGTACTATTAGTTATGTTCTTTGTTATACCACAACCTAATAAAATTAAAATCTAAGACTTCTTTTTACTTTTTAAAAGTTTCATATATTTTTTATATTATTCTTGTACAATGTATGCTTTCTCCTCTCAGGTGTAGTCCCCGTGAAATTTCCACCACCAATTCATGAGAATTTTAAGTTTTTCTTATGTTTATCTAAGGATAAATTCCAGCCTATGCAGCTACTTTATGATCCGCTTACCTGACTGAACGGTCATCACTTCCAGTCACCGCCAAGGGCTTAGTAGGATGGACAGCAAGTGCCCAAAGTTCACCTTCACAATGCCCTTGCATAATTAGGAAAGGTTTATTTCTTTCATGCACCACAATTTCAAAAATTTCGCTGTCCTGTGTTCCAACTAGAATGTGGTCACCTCGCCAACAAACACTTCTCACAGACAAACCTAGTCAAAAGTGAATCGTATTTAACATCACCTCCGTAATATAATGCCAATCTCCCTATATCAATAATGTCTATACCTTTTATGTAAAATATATCTGCAAGTCTTTGTCAATGATCCATATTGTTTTCTACGTGGAATTATATTTCCCTCTTTGCATATACCTAATTTCTTCCCATCTTTTAAGACATACACTCTTCTTTCTTGTTAAACAATCTCAGTTGATAATCTGACCACTTTCTCAGCCAAAGTTTTATATTAGTGGTCTGCATCAATCAAAAAAGTAATTATCCTTAATAGAATTACTTTTCTCTTGCAATCTGACTTTTCATGTGTCTGTATTTCACTTCTTTGGTCTGCTCATAAAATCATTAAGAGAAACTTCTGCTTTTTCTGTGTACTCCACAGACCTTTTGCAACCTCAGAAAAGCTAGTGTTTTTCTCATCTATATAATCAGACCACATAAAGGTACTGTGTACCTCACAAGGTGACTGTCAGGATCAAATAAGAAAAGTAAATTATTTTGTAAATTATAAAGTACAATAATATCCAGCAAATAAATGAAAATGCTGTAACAATTAACATTTACTTGATTATTATGTGCCAGACTCTGCTAAGCAGTTTACACATATTAACTTCTTTAATTCGATGTGATTGTTATTTTATCGCTTCACTTTACAGATGAGGTTAATTAGGTAGCCCACTGTGATACACTTATTAAAACATGGTTTAAACATACACCAACAAAGCTTCCAGTCCTACTCTTTATATTGCCACACTTGTGAACAATATGTGTATTTTTATAGTGAAAGATTTTGTCTTAACACATCCATTTTCTAAAATTTCCAGAAGAAAAAAATATCTTGATTGATGATAAATTAGGATGAATGAAAAACATCTACATGGACTTAAATCATCCTGAACAAAAGTCCCCTCAACCCTTGAACTTTGTTTTCAGTGGTTTATTTGCTAAGTAGTTACTTAGCATTCTAACAGTAAAATATTTTCAAAGTCCAATGTTTCCAAAGCAAGTATCTCTTTCTTTGTAGGCACCATTATAATAGGCATTAGAGATATGAACCTCTTTGTCAACTCAGTAAACCTAGATGATTTTTACATAAAATTTCTCCTTACAACAGAAGGATTTCAATTTAATACAGACAGTATGGAGAGGATATGTCTCATTTATATTTACAAAACATAGATTCATGTTTACTGAAAGGAACAATCCTTGACACTAGAGTTTGCCTACTAACGACACATGTCTTTTGTCATTACCTTTGTATCCCTGGTCTGTTTCCCTGAGGTCAATCACAGTAATTGGTTTAAAAGTTAAATCCCAAAGACGAATACAACCATCTCTGCCACCAGTAGCAAAGCCTTCTTCACATGCATTCATGCTAAAGATTCCTGCCTAGAGAAGAATAAAATTTAACAAAATATACTTTTTAGCAGTCCACTATGTAAAGGTAGAAACCCATTTTAAAAGCTGTTGAGATGAATATGAATAAACAAGTATGTAAGAAAACAAAAATTTTTAGAAATAAACCTTCGTAAATAAATGAATTTAATATATCCGCAAGGTGATTTTAATGATATGGGCATAACAAGAGAAATTAAAATTACACCTTATACCAAGTGTAAAAATCAACTATAGACAAAATTCTAAGTGCAGAAAAATCAATAAAATATATTTGAGCATCAGAAGAACACTTATGTAACTTTGGGCTTTGAGAACTCTTATAATGCATGGCAAAAGCTACAAAATTAAAAAAAAAACTTTCATATTATCATAAGCAAAGTCAAACAGACCACAATGTGCATGACTGTGTAAAGATTAATATCCCTAATATATAAATGAATAAAGAAAATCCAGTGACAGTAACACAAGTAAAGGACAAAAACAGATAGGAATCAAAATTAAAATACGAAGTTACTATTTTCACCCAGAAGACAAGTAAAATTCACAATAGTAGTCACATTCTGTTTGATGAAACTGGTATTTTTATAGACTAATGGTGAAATGTGAATTTCTACAATATTGTGGAAAAGATTTTGGTATTTCTAGTCTTTAGGCATTTTGCTTAGAGAAAGTCCTTTCCAAGTGGTTCTTTAATGCATTCAGGACGCTTCTCCATGAGATCTTGCTGCTGACAAAGTGGCAGCTCTGTGTTCTCTAGCTGCCCCCACTATATGAAGAATCCAAATGCTAAAAAGCACAGATCAAAAAACACTTAGTTTTAACAACTTTTTTTTCTGATTTGATAACTTATTTTTATAAAAAGTTTGTGAGGCATAAAAATGAAATCTTTTCCCATTTACTTAATGAATCAGTAGTATTAAAATTAAAAAAAAATTGTATTTTCTTCCTACAACCATCCTCAAATTTCTCTAATGTAGTTCATCTAGAATATTTTCAGGTTGAATTTAGTTTTTTTCCAACACAACTTTGAGGAAGATACCAAACCAAAGAAATAGTTTAAGTAAAATATTAATTTACTGATTTAATAAATGACTATGTCTAAGCACATGTTTCTTCATTGAAATCTTGAAAACAAATTCAGTTAGAATAGCATTTTTCAAATAGTTGAACTGACTAGAGTTTATTATGTACACTTTTGTTTTAAAACAAGCAGGTAAGTAGTCAACATTTCAAAGTATTTAAAATACATATACTTACAGTATGAGCTCCCTGTATTGTTCGTATAAGATTGATTCCTTTCCAAACATATATATCCCCATTGAGTGCACCAGAATATGTTAATTCATCCCTTGCACAGGCCAGGCACAATATTGTCTGAAGGTCACCAGTCTTACCAAAGACACCTCGTTTTGGAGTCAGAGCATTTCCACACAAATTCCAGAACTAAAAGGTACATGACATAATTAAATTACCAAACAATGCTTATAAAGAAGGTGAAACAATTTCAGTACTCTGATACTATATTAAAAGCAACAGATTTAGGGCCTCTCTAGTGGTGAAAGGGGTTAAGACGCAATCTATGAAGCTATCCGCACCCACTGAAGCACGAGTTCGATCCCTGGCCAGGGAGCTGCCCACATGGTGAGGCAGACCTCTCCTGGCTTGCACGCTGCTCTCCTCAGCAGTGTATTTCTATCAATATGCCTGTTCTGTTTCCCACTCTGTCTCTGGCGGATCCCTCACCCCCACACCTCTGGCCTGTACCCCAATTCTTGTATACATAGGTAAATCTTTTTTTTTAAAAGCAACAGATTTAAATTATCTAAGAAATTCCCTTGCGATACTATAGCTTTCAGTGTTCACAGCCTCATTCTAGTAATGTCAATGGCTATGTTACAGAAGTCATGTTTCAATCCTTACCTGTGAGATAAGAGGGGAACTGACCTAGGTTATTTTTTAAAGATTTATTTCATTTATTTATGCATACATGAACTGGGGTACAGGTCAGAAGTGTGTGGGGGAGAGAGGATTCACCAGAGACAGAGTGGGGAGCAACAGATAGATCCACTGAAATACACTGCTGAGGGAAGCAGCAGGCAAGACAGGAGAGGTCTGCTGCACCATGTGGGTCACCTCCCTGGCTGGCCAGGGATTGAACTCATGCCACAGTGGCTGGCGACAGCTTGACAGCGCTGAGACTTAACCCAGGCGCCACCAGGGAGGCACGACTTAGGTTCTTTTAAAAATGTTTGCCTTAAGTTTCTGAAAACTACATAAAACGTGGGGGTATGGGTGAGCATAAAAATGAAGACAGCATACAATAGTATGAAAAAGGACCAAACCTGGTGTTCAATCTCTGATGGAGACAGTAAAGATGAATTAAAAAGATTAGATGCTCTCTCATTGACATTTTCAAAGTTGAGCAATTCCTTTACTTGTAAAGCTTAAAAATAATATACACATTGGAATGATTTGTTCATTCCTGGGAGAAGATATGGAAGTCAACATAAATCTTCACGACTTAAGATTTTTATTATTTTATGTGAATTCAGGTAAATTTTAATGGTTTGCAAAGAGAAATAAACAAAAATGGGCCCAGGTAGGGTTATATAACAAAGAGTTTTGCATAAGAAAATTAAACCCAAAGAACAAATTCAACTTTATAGTAAGTTAATTATCAAAGTACTAAAATATTATATACTTATCTTTAAGATATTATTTAAAGACCTAAGGAACTTATTTTAGAGTCTGAAGCTGCAAAGAACTAAACCCTGTGATACCTACATATGTAGTGGTTGCTACTGTACTGCTCAGTGCAATGCTGGAGCATCTTGGGGACTAAGTTTCCTCATTGCATGTGAAGAGCATCTCCCTACTAGTCACTGTCTCTCCCAAAGGAAAATAAAACTGTAACTCATAGTGAATATATAGTGTGTTTAGTTTACTTGATAAGTTTTTTTTTAATCTGAAAATGGAACTTTTAGCTTTATTTATAATAAAAACAGCAGTAAGATTTCTTACTAATTAATTTGTTAATAATTTATCAAGCACGTAATATATACCAAGTATATGTGAAACATCACCTTGTTGATCTTTGGTGAGCAAGACAAAAATTTTCTCTCTACTATTAGTACTTAAACTATTTACCGTATGCCTAGCACAGAGTCTTTTGCTGTCAAATATTTGCTGAAAAAATAAAGACTTAATACTACCCATCTATCAAATCAGTACCAGAATATCAAAACCAGAATTACAGCAGCAGCAAAAGATTCTTTGGAGAAAATGTAAACTGAAATGAGCATATCAAAAGAAGAATATGAACACAGAGCCTTGCTAGGCATTAATTGATACAAGGAACTGTCATATCAGATAGACATAAAAGTATTTTCAGAGGAAAAGGATTTTCAGTTTGCACCAGTGATTTATTTTTTTTATTTTTTTTTTTTTGTTTTTTTTTTTGTTTTTCTAAAAACTATTTTTTAACATTTATTGATCATTTATCTTATGCCAAATGTTTTTTTTTTATTTTCTTTTTTTTTTTAATATTAAATTTTATTTTTATATTCCCCCATACAATTGCAAACGCCCCATTCTGACCCCAATCCTTCCCCTCCCGCCCCCCCCCCCCAAAAAGTGTCTTTGGTTCATAGTTTTTTGTTGATTTTGATTTTCACTTTCTTATATTCATTTTCCTGGTCCCTTATTTAAGTTTTCTAGATTCCTGCTATGAGTGAGACCATCCGGTATTTTTCTTTTTCTTTTTGGCTTATTTCGCTGAGCATGATCCCTTCCAGTGCCATCCATGTTGCTGCAAATTGCATGTGTTTATCTTTTTTGAATGCTGAGTAATATTCCATGGTATAGATGTACCACATCTTCTTGATCCAGTCATCTATTTTTGGGCATTTGGGTTGTTTCCAAAGCTTAGCTATTGTAAACAGTGCTGCTATAAACATAGGAGTGCAGGTGCTCTTTGGAATTGATGTTTCTGTGTCCTTTGGGTAAATACCTAGGAGTGGAATTGCTGGATCATACAGAAGCTCTATGTTTAGTAGGTCCAGAAATCTCCACACAGCTCTCCATAGTGGTTGGACCAGTTTGCACTCCCACCAACAGTGCAGGAGAGTTCCTTTTTCTCCACCAGTGATTTAAAAGCAACTATAAACATGAAAATGAATAGTACCACTGACTATCTGGACTTCAAAATCTGACCTATCATAAAACAAAACTCAGGCCTTTCATAAACAAAGTAAAGAGCGACTCTCAAAGGCTGAGGTCAAACCAGAGAATACAGACAGAGGAAAAGAGAACACTTTAGGAAAGCTGACCATGTGCTAGGCACTATGTGCACTTGAATACATACTATTATACCTTACTTAATCATCAGCTCTCTGAGGGTAGTAATGGCAGTCACAGTTCTACGGTATAGAAAAAGCACAAAGAGGGTAAACAAGTTATCCTATGTTCAATCGCTAGTACGTGGCAGAGCCAACTCTATTCATGCTGCTTCTACCAAATTGTTCTATCTGTGAATGAAACCTTTTCATTTACTTGGTTTCCTATTCCTGCAGTTTACTTTATGCATGAACCATGGAGAATCAAGATGAACACGTAAATCCCACTTCACTAGATTATGAATTCCTTTGTGGAGAGTGGTTTTTTTTTTTTTTTTTTTATAGAGGCATGCTTTTTTTATTTATTTATTTTATTTGTTTGTTTGTTTTGTTTATACATGCACTGGGTACAGTCAGAAGCGCGGGAGGGTGAGAGAACCCACCAGAGCCAGAGCGGGGAGCAGAGCAGGCAGAAGGACCGAAGCACACTGCTGAGGGGAGCAGCCGGCGGCAGGAGAGGTCTGCGCGCCATGTGGGGCCCTCCTCCGGTGGCCAGGAAGCAGCCGGGGATCGAACCGGCGCCACAGAGGCCGCGGGCAGCTTCGCAACCCAGCGCTCAACCGCTGCGCCACCGGGGAGGCCCGAGAGTGGTTTTTTTAAGTCCCTACTCAGACCTATCTTCCTTACAGTGCCTCACACATACTAACTTGTTGATAAATATTTGTTAGACTGTAGGTAAGAACATCAAAAACACTGACATTTTTAAAATAAGTAGTCAGAATCCAAAAACTATCCTAAAATTGTAAAGAGTGAAATATATACTTAGCAGCAGAGAATGACTAAACATGACTATTATAAAATAAGACCCTTCGAGTACCTTGATATGTTTTACACCACAGCTGACAAGTTTATTTGGCTGGTACAAATCCCAAGAAATATCAAATATCTGTAAACAAATCAGATACATGGTTAAAATACTTATTTTGAGAGTCATTTAAGAACACTGTATAAAAGATCAACAGCCCAAAACTCAACCTATTATAAAACACTATCCTTCAGTAAATAATCAGAATAACACTCCTCAAATCTTATGAGAAATAAACTACGTAAATAATAAAACTATTTTTATTATTTCCATAATCACTCTTTATTAAATCCAAAGTATTAAACACAGAAATATAAAACCCTTTGACTTGCCCATCCAGTACCCATTAGAAACCCCAATGGAGAATGCTTACTCTATCGGTGTGACCAGGAGCCATAGACAACATTTTGCCCCTTTTCCAATCCCAAACACAAACAGCATTCTTTGAATCAAGTCCAACTGAAACCAAGCGCTGATTATGTCCAAGAAGTCCAGGAGGGAATAAAAGGGCAAACAAAGCAAAGAGAAACCAAATTACAAATGGCAAACACATTCTATTCATGGATTTTATATACATCAAAATGTGTATGTTACACATTTATATTTATAGCCCTCATAAACACTGGATGCATTTTATCCTGTTAATATTTGCACATATGTGCAGTTTTTCATTAAGTAACAAAAGAAAGATTTATATTTCTAACAATAGGATTGACAAAATACTCAAAATCTCTCTCATGGCAAAAACTAGAATGCTAGATAAAATGTAAAAACATCTTTTTAGATGCACTCCTGATCTGTCAAGGAATTAAGAAATCTGAGAACAAAAACAAACTGATTGCCCATGGGAATCCTGGAGGATAAAAGAGCGCCCACATTCACTTTATCAGTGGAATCCTGATAAGCCTGATATTTGTTCTATAGGTTGAACAGGAATTAAGAAATAAACTTGGGACCTATCCATGGTAGCGATCTATAGTGTAGAATTTTGACTCAAGCAGTGAATGTGTCAGAATATGGGAAAACAAGAAAAAATCACTTTTAACAGAAGGGGCGGCAACACATGAAGAAGGAAAAAATGTCCCTGAAAAGCTGTGAAGACAAGCCTGTAGGGCCTAAATCCACATTAATCATGAATTTCTCAAGTGGGAAATTTCATTCAGCGTGGTCCTAAGGGCTACAGTCTTCAAGCACCTTCATTCAACAAAGTAGCTTAGGCTAAAATATATGTGGAGAATTGAAACATCAATTCACCTCTCAAAGAATTCCTACAGGTAGAAAATCAATAAAACTGAACATAAAGAGTGCCCCTTCCCCCTACCAATAGCCATGAGAAATAAGGGATCACGACTGAGAACTGTCACAGCAAAACCAGTGCTGCAAAAAACATCAGACACTGAAATTTTCAAATAATACAAAACAAGCTTAATCTGAACAGAAAAATAAAATTAAGCAAAGAATGGACTATAAAAAGTATCCAAGCAGATCTGGAGAAGCACACAGAAGTATTTCTAGAAGTAGAAAAAAAAATTATACTAAAGGTTAAATGGAAGAGGTAAGTGGGGGATGAACAGACACTTGAAAAGAAGTGGAGAGATGGAAAGTATGAGAGAGGTTAAGAAACATGTTAGATGTAAGTCCCGCCAAGAAGCAATATCTGGGTCTGAAGTTGCCTTCCTATCATAAACAACTAGGAAACTACACAAAATACATGAAACTAAAGTTTCCATAAATTCATAACAGGAAATGAAGCACTGTGAACCTGGAAAGACAGCCCCAGATTCACCTAGAATCAATTTCCAGACCACAGCACAAAAAGGTGGACTCCACATCCTTAAAAATGCAAATTTAAGGTATGTTTTAACCACAGGAGTTAGTAAAGAACGATTGAAAAATTAAATCAATAAAGGTTCCCACTGTCTTCACAAATATTGGAAAATAACTATTTCTTAAAATTAGTACATATGGCCAAAATTTTAAATAAAAATTAGAGATTTGTGTCTTACCTTTGGAGGGTTATTAGAATTTTAAATGGAGGCTATTTAACAGCAACCCCCATCCTAAAAGTGGACTCCAGAGTTCAGGCCAAGATATTTAGAATTTCCATAGCAAAGAAAGCACTCCCAAACATCTTTGCAAGCATAGCATGAAATTAATGAGGTCACACAAAAAACAAAATCTGATAAAAGAACAATTAATGAGACCTAAAACCAAACAATTCCCAGAGATCACAAGAGATCAGGGTCAGTTAAATCCCCAGTAGTAGAGAAATCTCTTTAGTAGGCATCCCAAGAAGTTCACACCTTACAAGTAAGGTTAAACCAGTCATCCTGGATGAAAAGCTACTCTAGTTCTGCCCCCCCCACTACCCCCCAAAAAATTAGAAAGCACATTTTTTCCCAAGGGTCAAATTGAGTCACAAGGAACTATCTTCCAGAACAAAACATTTTCAAGGCATACAGCAAAAACCAGCATTCAGAATGTAATATGTACTATGTCCAGCATTCAATTAAAAAAGAAAAATACTGTACGTGTGAAGAAAGGAAATTGTGGCCAATAACCAGCAGAAAAATCAATGAATAAAAACAGAACCAAGAATCACAGGTATGATTTAAATTAGGGCATTAACTGTTAAAATGAAAAAGTTCAAAGATTTCCAAGGATAATAACTAATGCTTAAAAGAAAAATCTTACAAGCAGTCAAATAAAAAAGGACAACTAAACTATGAAGGAACAAATATTATTCCAGGTTTCTCATCTGAAGCTATTCAAGTCAGAAGGAAATGAATAAACTTTTTAAAGTTCTTAGGGGGGGGCCTCCCCGGTGGCGCAGCAATTGAGTGCTGGGTTGCAAAGCTGCCCGCAGCCTCTGCAGCTCCGGCTCTATCCCTGGCTGCTCCCCAGCCACTGGAGGAGGGTCCCACATGGCGCGCAGACCTCTCCTGCCGCCCGCTGCTCCCCTCAGCAGTGTACTTCGGTCCTTCTGCCTGCTCTGCTCCCCGCTCTGGCTCTGGAGAATTCTCTCGCCCTCCTGTGCTTCTGACTGTACCCAGTGCTTATCTAAGTAAATAAAGATAAATCTTTAAAAAAAAAATAAAAAATAAAAAAAAATAAAGTACTTAGGGGGAAAAATCAACAAAGAATTGTTTACATAGCAAAATATCTCTTGCAAATTGGGTCAAAATAAAGTCTTTTTCAAGCAAACAAAAGGTGAGAAAGTTCATCATCAAACAACATATACTACTACAAAATATGACAATGGAAATTTCCTCAGGAAAAAAGAAATGCCAAATAGAGACTTTTTTCTTGTTTTTAATTTTCTTTTAAAACTGGATAAAGCAAAAAGAAGTTATTACGGGGTTTGCAAAATATGCAGAAGTAATGGTAACAGCACAATAAATAGAAGGAAAGAAAGGAAATAGCAGAATACATGTTTTCTTCTCACAACCTTTCCAGGTGCCAATGAAACATGAAGATTACAAAATTTTGAATCACAAAAATAAGCCTAAAAATTTTTTTATATTAAAATATGTTCTCTTATGAAAACAGAATTTAATCAGAATAACAGAAAGTTATAAAGAAAACCTTCCAAATTCATGGAAATTAACAATACACTTCCAAGTAATTAAAGAGTCAAAGAAGAAATCACAAAAAGGATCAACACACACTTCGAAAGCACTAGTTTAGAAATAGGGGTCAGCAATTATAGGTCAAATTCTGCCTGTATGTTGTTTTTGAGAATCAAGTTTTACTGGAACAGTTACAACCATTCTTTCACAGGCCATCTAGCACTGCTTTCATACTACAATGCCACAGTTGCTGCAACAAGGACCATGTGACCCACAAAATTGAAAATATTTACTTATCAGCCATCTCCAGTGTACAACATGGGTTCTGGGATCTGCCTGCGTATGCCAGAACACTGGCTCCATCTCTCACCAACTGGATGACCTGAGGCAGTTATCTAATTGCTCTGTACCTTAGTTTCCTAACTTATTAAGTGGGGACAGGAGAAGTACCTCATAGGGTTAATATGATAATTAACAAATGTATATCTATGAAGGCGTCAGAAAAGAATATGGTTAATGCTATACTGATAAATGCCTGGTAACATCATTATAAGTTCACCATAACCATAATTCGCATTAAGAATCCATGTCCTCTACCTGTCTGAATGAGAAATGCCCTCTAGTACCCACTTAGAAACAACTTCTGCAAAGTAGAATTACTATTTAAATCCCCCAAATAGGTAAGTGAAAGCGCACATAAAAAGATACAGAATATAGTTTGTTATGATTCTCCACCAACTCAGACTAGCGGAAAGTCCGAGGGAACAAGAGGTTGATTTGCTCCTCCTGAGTTTTCAATATTTGTGAACTAGCTAAAAAGAAGATACCCCTTCTAATCCCTACACACAGTACGGGGATTAAAATTTCTCCAGTGTAAAGTGAAGACGAGTCAGAGGGACACCGTGCTTTCTAACACAACCTCTTCCCTGACTCAGCTTACCACACACACACAGCAAATCACAATCAGCTAAAAGTTTTAAAACTCTATGTGTCCGAACAGACCCTCCAAACATCTGGCTCTGTAGAACAGAAACAAGAGACCTAGGAGCACTTCCTCTGGGCACACTTCCTAAGTATGTTAAGCAATAGCAAAGAAAAAAAGAGATAGAAATAGCCAAGCAAATACTATCTCTTCTTCTAGACTGTTAGCAGTTTTTACTTCACCATCTTTTCTAACATTTGAAGCCTTGGTAAATGACAGGGAAGATAAAGTTTTCCAGTAAAAGTAATATTTGAACCATACCTTGGAAAATAGAGGAGACAGGTAGAAAAGTAAGAGGAAGCACTTTTCAGAACTAAGGACACCAAGACAGACAATGGTGCTTTCAGGACAGAGCTAGTAATTCAGAGTAACTAAGGGGAGGCAAATGTACCTAGAAACGACAGGAGAGGTGGCTGGAGATGTAGTCAAAAACCAGGAAAGAGGTAGATGTTTTATGTTTGTTTTTGATACAGTAGGAATAAGGAAACAAACGTGAAATGTGTAGTATACAGTATATCTATAGGACCTTCCAAGGGGGTGGTATCCAGAGTTGAGGAAAGAAGCTATGGCTACTCTTAACTGACATGGAGGTTAAAGTCATGGATCTAAATAACCACCCAGAGGGAATAAAAGAAAAGAATGCTACAAACCTCCCAAGGAACACTGACATTTAAGAAGCAGACAGATGAAAATATTCCTATGAAGATAATTAGGAAGTAATAGCTAAATAGGCAGAAAGAAAACCAGTTAAAGAAGCTTCTATCTAGCATCCCAAATTGCCCCCTAATCTTATTCCCAAACAAAATCTTGCATGTGTCCACTAACTGAATTAGAAGTATTTATTAACCACTTCCAGCACACTAAATACTCAAGATTAAATAACCTAATAGACATAGATATAGCCCATGAGTTCCTGCAATTGATAACAGGTAATTTAAATCTAAGAGATAGTGGTATGTGGGTCCATGTGATCTCAGTATTCATCTTATAAAAACAAACTGTTATAATGTTACAAAGTAAAATCATAAAGTTTGCAAAAAATGAAGGACTTAATGGAGTAAATATTGGTCAAATCATCTCTAAAGCCATTAGAAATTAGGATTTTTTTTTCTAACTAGAATCTTTTATTACTTCTAGGCAGGGCAACAGAAGAGAACTCAAATATGATACAAGAGTCACTTGAGATCGAGCTAGATATCAAGATATTACAAAAGGTCCAGCGAATTCCTCCAATAATTTTGTGAAAATGAGCTTCTGTATAATTATGTGCTAAAAGTCAAAGATAAACTAAAGCAATTTATTTTATACCAGAATAGAATTGACAAAATTAGGTTAGAATAATTAACACTTTATTCTTAGTTCATTCTATAAACTAGCAGAGTTAGATTTTGTTAAATATGAGAAATGTGTTTTATAAATTTTATAAATTATGGTCATGTTTTCAAGATAAAGTACCAGTCAAATTTCCCCTCCTCCTACCACTTTCTCCCATTTACTATGAAATTTTAGTTTATATTTGATGTGGGTTTATATAAATAGCCTTTTCAGACCCTATTATACTCAAGAAGGCAGACCTCTAGTGTTAGGATGGATGGATATTCAATCCATTTAGAAGAAAGCCTCTGGGAACAGAACATCTAACACTACTGTGAATGGAAAACTCATTCATCTGATAAAACTTAATTGAGCACTTAGTTTCAAATCTTGTAGAAAATCCAAAAATTACACAATATTTCCTAGCTAGCTTCTCAAACGGTTCATAGGTATTAGTGAATAGAAAAATGTTATCATATTTTTAAACTAAAGCATTTTCTTATAACAATTTCAGAGATACTCTTCTTAATCTTTAATTGATAATTGATAATTGTTCTTTATAAGCTTTAGCTATTCTTAGGATGGATAAATTCCTTTTGAAATATAAATAAACACCTCCTAAGTTCCATGTTTGGGAGGCAGTAGAGCATTGTGGTTAAAAACATGAGCTTTGGAGTGTGACTGACCTGGGTTCCCGCTCTGGCTCCATTTACTAGCTGTGTAACCTGGGGCAAGTTATTTAACCTCTCTAAGTCTCAGTTTCTTTATCTGTAAAATAGAGATAATAATAGTATCTATTTCATAGGGTTGTTGTGAGGATTAAAAGAGATAATGTAGGCGGAGCACAATGCCTGGCACTTAGTATGTGTACAGTAATTTTAAGCTACTATGTTTTCATATGCTTAACTTTTAAGTAACACATTCTTATGAAGATTTGTGATAATAAAATACATGTACCCAAGACTTCTTACAAGTTACTTAATATAAGCGAAATGACAGACTTTCAACTAGTAAAGTTAGTTTGGGCATGATTTCCCCTTGAATATATAAAAGACGTATATAAGAAAAGTTCCTTAGCAATGCAATATGTTACATTCAGTAAGGGCAATTTTAAAATGAAGAAGAAAACATCTACATTTTAAGTATACAGACACTTAAAACATACTGAATTTCGTAATACTCTTGGCAAATGATTTTTAAAAAAACATTTGTATAATAAAATTTAATCTCCTGTGAAGTAGGTAAGAATATTATTTTTATCCTTTAAAGAAAAGAAAATTAAATTGTTATATGAGGACATTAAGGGATGAATTAAGGTTCTGTAATAATTAAGGTTCTGTAATTGCCAATCACTGACTGCTACACCATATCAAACCTAGAAGCACATGTTATTCTCAAATAAGAGGTTCTAGTTCTTATAGATTCCTTACCAGATTCTTACCGGAAAGTCATATTAATTTATGCTATTAACATATTCCTCAGAGTTATTAAAGATATATATATATACCTGCTATATCTTTTTCAAAGAAACAGAACATGCTGTATTCTATTTCTGTAAAATCTAGATTTACAAGATTAATTTTATGAATTGAAAAGTAAATAATTAGAAGTTTCTAAACATCAAGATGATTTTTAAGTCTAATCTTAGTCTAAAACTTTTAAGACTATAAATTAATCACATCTGCAAAATCCAACCTCTTACCACTTCTTAAATGTACTAGATATAACAATTTCCATGAAAACACCACAAATAAGAGTATTTTTTAAGATTTTTAAATCACTGACTAAAAGTAGATAATTTTGGAATTGATAAATAAGTGGAAAGAATTATACCCTTTATATTGGCTTTGATTTTACATAAAAATAGTTCATATTATAGGAACTATCATTATTTTCAATAAACAAATATAATTTTAAGAGCCCTTTAAAATAACTGAAAATTAAAATGTGTACAACGCTACTTAGAGAAACTTAAATTTGTCCTAGCAACATATACTACCCACAAAATTGTTAAATGTGAAAGTTTCTAGAGCAACCAGTAATAGTCCACTGAATTTGAATCTCTTTGGCTTTCATACTAGTAATTAATTCAACAGAAAAGCTTTTGATACAATGAGATAAAAACTTTTTTTTTATTTTCACACACACACACACACACACACACACACACACACATCTCTCAACCACCCACTCTCTATTTCCACCTTCTTTTCAATTGTCTTTCAATTTAACATGTATAGATAATCATTTCCTACAGCACATTTTAAAAACATAGTTTAAGAGAAAAAATTAATACATACCTGTCCATCTAGGTCAAATGCTAAGCAAGCTATACCATGTGTATGAACATCCTTTAGAACTGATATGGTCTGTACAGTGTATGAATCCCAAACACAGATATAAGGCTCTTTCCCAACTTGTCCTGTTGCTACCAATACTCGCTCAGGATGCAAAGCAAGGCTGTAAAATAAATAAACAGACTTAAAAATTGCTTACAGAACTTTAAAAAGGGTTGGTATATGTAAAATTATATACATCAATATGAAAATTAGACTTTATCCATTTAAAATAATTTGAATTCAAAATGACTTGTATAAAAATCCATGATATGAATTACTACTTCAATAATATATGATAGTTAATGACAAACTTCATAATTCCCATAATATGTTATTGTATGTAAACTTCTCAAGAAAATCTCCTAAGGCATCAATTGGACCATTGCAACAAATTTATTATAACCCCACTACACGCCACTCTTTCATTTGGTATTCATCTATTTTTAAGCTCTGTCTCATTTTATTCTTTTATTGGATAAAGGACCAAATCTCAGTGTCCCCAAATAGCATTTAATAGCACTCCTATGAAAACATTAATACTTAAATTATAAATTCCATTTAAGAAAAAAAAAGTCACCTATAATTCACAGAAAATAGTTTATGAATATTTAAAAACAAGACAAAGACTTAACAGTTGGTAATGTTTTTTGTATATCAGCAGGTGAGTAAATTCTCCTTGATAAATTTTTCTACATGTAGGTTTGGATTACCAGATTCACCACTGGGATTCACCATTCCATCATGGTGGAAGATGAACCGAGAGGGTAAGTTAGATAAGTATGAAAACAGAATCAACTCATTCTATGTAGGGAAGTAAGGGACAGGGAGGAGTCTAAGATGACTCTTGGATTTCTGGTGTGGCATCTGGATATCCTGAGTTGGTATTCCTCAAAGTAGGGGATACTAAATGAGTAACATGTGGGCAGGGGGAAGATAAGTGGGAATGGAAGGTTGGTTCAACATGTGAAAATCAACCAGTGTAATATTAATAAAGGACAAAAAGCCTTCACATATATTCATCTTGACAGCTGGAGAAACAGAAATGCAGAAAAAGCATTTGACAAAAATCCAACCCTGTTCCAGATAAAAACACATGAGTTAGGGATTGAAGAGCATTGCTTCAACTTGATAAAGGGCATCTATGAACACTCACAGCTATGTCACATTTCATCATGAAAGCCTGAAATTTTCCCTTTTAAGTATGGGAACAAAGCAAGGATGCCAGCTATTGCCATGTCCACTTAACATGGTACCAGATAGCCTTGCCAGGACAATTAGGCAAGAAAAAGAAACAAAAGGAAGAAGTAAAGATGTATTTGCAGATGACATAATATTATGTAAACCAACCAAATAAATTCCAAGTAGAGCTAATAAATGAGGTCGGCAAAGATGCAAGATCAACAGAAAATATTACTTGCATTTCTATATATTAATAATGAATAATCTGAAAAAATCAAGCAAACAATTCCACTTATAATAGCACCAAAAAGAATAAAACTTTGGAATAAAAATTTTAAAATACAAGATATGTACAATGAAAACTGTAAAATGCCATCAACTTTAAAAGATCTAAATAAATGGATATCATGTTCTAGGTTTGCAATATTGTGAAGATAGCATTACTTCCTAAATTGATCTACAGAATCAACACAATTCCTGTCTAAATACTTGTTGCCTTTCTACAGACTGATTCTATAATACAGAAACGCTAAAACGATCTTGAAAAAAAAATTGGAAGACTCATGCCTTCTAATTTCAAAACTTACTAGCTTATTACAAAACTGCAGTATGGTAATCAAGACAGTGTGGTACTGGTCCGTGGGTAGACAGGTTGATCATGGAACAGAATTGACAGTGCATAAATAAATACATTTATGGACAAATGACTTTCAAAAGGGTGATGCCAAAACAATTCAACAGGGGAAGAACATTTTTTCTATAGATGCTGCTGACACGTCAGACTATACACCTGCACAAGAATGAATTTGGACCCATACATCACACCATATACAAAAAAACAATCCAATTGTCTGCATCAAACACAACAAGTGTTGGTAAGGGTGTGGACAAAAAAGGAATCCTGTACACAGTTGGTGGGAATGTATACTGGTTCAGCCTCTATGGAAAACCATATGGAGACTTCTCAAAATGTTAAAAATAGATTTCCAGCAATTCCACTCCTAGTATCTACCCAAAGAACATGAAAACACTAATTTGAACCAATATGTGCAAGTCTATATTTACTCAACATGATTTAATATAGCCAAGTTAGGGGAACAAGGTAAGTGTCCAAGGACAGGTGAATGGAATAAGAACATATAGTGTGTGTACGTGTGTGTGTGTGTGTGTGTGTGTGTATCCCAATGGAATACCACTTGGCTATTTTTTTTAAAAAAAAGTAACATTGTGCCAATTGTAATAACATGGATAGAATTGGAGGGGATTCTGCTAAAGTCAGTCAGGAGAAAGACAAATATCAAATTATTTCACTCATATGTGGAATATAGAAGAACAAAACAAAGGAACAGGCAAAACCAACCCTAGAAATTAGACTGCAGAACTAAGGCTACCACAATGGGGAGGTGTGGAGAGCAAAGTATGGAGGGGACACAATGGACTTGGTGGAGGACTATGAATGTGTTTGTGATGGATGCGGTGTAGTAAGAGCTATACACCTGTAACACTGAATCATATTTGGTGTTGTATAAAATGTTAACTCAATAAAAATAATGCAATTTTAAAAAATCAGATCATTGGTTACCCAGGAGCGGGCAAAGAGGCTTAATAGCAAAAATATATGAGGGAACTGTTTGAGGTTAGGGAAATAGTCTACATATTGGGGCCTCCCCTGGTGGCGCAGCGGTTGAGCACTGGGCTGCGAAGCTGCCTGAAGCCTCTGCAGCACCGGTTCAATCCCCGGCCGCCAGCAAGGGTCCCACATGGCGCGCAGACCTCTCCTGCCACTCCCGCTACTCCCCTCAGCAGTGTACTTCATCAGTCTGCCTGTTCTGTTCCCCGCTCTGGCTCTGGTGAATTCTCTCACCCTCCCGTGCTTCTGACTGTACCTAGTGCTAATAGTCTATATAGTGATCATAATGGTAACTACACAATTATTACATATGCCAAACACATCAAAATGTACACTTAAAAAGATTCTTGTACATAAATTATACCTCAATAAAGCTAATCTTTAAAAAATCAAAATCAAAATGTTAATAACTAAAGATTTTAAACTCTTAGAAGAAAACATAGGCACAAATTTTATTGACCTTGGATAAAGTAATGATTTATTAGATAGGACACCACAAGCAGAAGTGACAAAAGAAAAAATGGGACAAAATAAACCATCAAAATTAAAAATATTTGTCCTTTAATGGAAAACCATCAACAACATGTAAATATAATCTACAGAATGGGAGAAAATATTTGCACAGCATATATCTGGTAAGGGTTGTATTGAGAATATATAAAGAATTCTTTCAACACAACAACAAAACCACAGCTAGGACGCCCCCCCCTTATTTTTTATGGGCAAAATATTTGAAAAAAGATCTCTCCAAGAAAGATAAAAGAAAAGGCACATGAAAATTTACTCAATACTACTAGTCAGCAGGGAAATGCCAGTCAAAATTGAAATGATACACCACTTCCACAATCAAAAAGACAGTATTTTGTCAATATATATGTAATATTATTATCAAGTATTGGTATGGTTGTAGAGAAATTACAACCCTCATATACTCCTTGTGTAACTGTGAAATGATACACCCACCTTGGAAAACAGTTTGGCAGTTCTTTAAAAATTTATACATAAAGTTGCTGTAAGATCTATCAAGTCTATACCTAAAAGTTGCTAAAAAAATGAAAACATGTCCACACAAGTTACACATAAATATTTATAGCAGTATAATATATCCAAAAAGTGAAACAATGCAAAAGTTCCTCACTGAAGCATAGAAAAATAAAATGTGAATATTTATGTAATGGAATATTATTTGGCCATAAAAAGTTATGAAGATATACTGATAGATGCGGCAACATGGATGAACCTTGAAGATACATTAAATGAAAGAAAACAGACTTATTAAGGTCACACATATAATATGAATTCTAGTTATTTATAGCATTCCCTTATTATTTTCCTTTTAAGGTCTCTGGGTCTGCAGTGACATCCTGATTCATACTGGTCATTTCTGTCTTCTCCATTGTGTTTAGTCTAGTTAGAAATTTATCAATTAAATCAGTCTTTCAATGAATTAGCTTTTGGTTTGATTTTTTTCCCTGCTATTTTGCTGTTTTCATTGATTTCTGCTCTTTATTTACTTCTCTATGTTTGCTTTTGGGTTTAGATTGCTCTTCTTTTTCTAGTTCTTAAAGTGGAATCTTAGATTACTGAGCTGAGATCTTTTGAAATATCATATATGTGTTTAATGCTATAAACTTTCCTTCAAGGCTTCAGTTGAATCTCACAAATTTTAATGTTGTATTTTCATTTTCTTACAGCTCAAAATATTTTCTGATCCCCTTGTCTTCTGAGTTAACGATTTTTATGTTTATATAGTTATGTTCAGAAAACTTATTTAATTGCATTTTTGTTGTTGTTGAGGCAACGGTTTACAACACTGAATATTAGAGGTACAGATTCACACCTCTCAGATGTGTGTTACCACATTACACTCACCACCAAAGCAGCCATAATCCTCCACCATGGTCCATTGGGTCCTCTCTTCCCTATGCTCTCTACTCCCCCAAATCTGCCTTTCTGGCAGCCCCACCTCTACAGTCAGATTTCTAGGGTTTCCTTTGGTTTAATTTTATTCATTCCTTTGCTTTATTTCTTTATATTCCACATAAGTGATATCATCCAGTATGTATCTTTCTCATTCTGACTTATTTCACTTATCAGAATCCCCTCCAGTTCCATCCAGATTGTTGCAAAAGGCAGATTTCATCTTTTTTAGTAGCTGAGTAGTATGCCATTGTGTGTATATACCACATCCTCTTAATCCACTCATCATTGGGCATTTAGCTTGTTTCCATAATGTGCAATCCATTCTAATCACGTTGCAATGCACACAGGCAAGCATATAATCCTTCATATTAGTGTTTTAGTCTTCTTCA